CCCCCCCCCCCCCCCACAAAAAAAAAAAAATTGAAATAATAATAATAATATTTTAAGTGGATCTTGGTTTATAGTAACAATTATTTATTTGAAAAATACAACTCAAAAATAACAATTAAGATTAAAGTCTCCCATCCGAACGCGATTTTTCTTAAATTTTGTATAGAGCAGTTTTAGTAAAATCGTAAAAAAAAATGTTTTCCCTTGGTACATAAAGCAAATAGAAGTTAGATATTTAATAATATTTTGGTGTATTTTATAATTATTAAAATGTTGTAAAACGTTTTGTATACGTTGCCCTATTCAGATTTTATTATCTCTAATTGATTCTCTACTCTTAGCTCGTATTAACTTATTTCATTTTAACACCGTAAAAATATAAAGTATAGAATAGTGCTCGAAATTAATACAACTTATTAATGAACTATATCCACACGCGTCGTTTTAACAGTTTTGACTAGACTGACTATACTTGTATATTTACCATCAGTTATTGTGGGTCATTTATCAAAATAATCTCGTCATTATGAGATAATCGTTATAACATTAAGTACCCTTATCGTAACAAATATTAATGAAATCATATAGTCTCATACAATTTAATGTGTATTGTTATCTATTTTAAAAGACCTGACTTATCTTGTTTTTAATTAATTTGTACTTGAAATGTAGTGGTAAAAATGTAAATAAATATAGAAATCACATAATCGTGTTACAAGAAAAAAAAACATGCGAGAATCGTATTCCTAGTATGGCTACGTCGCGTTCGAATACGATACAGAGTTGAATAGAAAAGAAGGTTGAAAAAAATATAACATCGAACAATGAACGTCCTAACGTGTTCTACCCGTTGCCACACACCCATTTACCACCATCATTCTCGTAGCCGCTACATAGGATATCTAAGCCGTTACTGATTACATTTGTCAAATATGTTGACGCATTCAAAACCTAACCGACATTTTAATTCAAAATATAATAATATTTATGTATCGAATCACACGGCTTGTATTGTACCGAAACATATTTTGTAAACAGTCCGGTTATAACTTCATAAGAAAAAAAAAAAAAATGGAAACACGAGATAAAACAACATGGGATCGAATAGTATACATTATGATTTAACGAATATACATCTACGCCATTACGTGAAAAACAAGCGGCTATATTTTATGTAGCTAATTTATTTTCGCGTGTGTTCATGATAATTATACTTTACTGTTCGAAATACATCGACCCCGGCGCCGTGTCAAAATATTTCACATGATACAATATGCCCACCTACCCTTTAAATGGTCCCGTCATAATTAAAACGCGTATACATTTTAATATTATATACACAACAAATTACCCCACAGTAAATTAGTCAAACACAACAACAGCAGTCGGCATTTATTTCGCGAGACTGAACACAGTGTGATGCCTAATGATATTTTTAGTAAAATACAATATGTATCGAAAAAACGAGTGCACCTCATGCGGGCAATGTCGTGCAGTGGCGGACTGGATAGTGCTGGATCCACTTTTCTAAAAAAAAATAATCGACTATGAAAAGTCCAATATTGCTTTCAAACAATTCCTGGCCGAAAGAAGCCCTCCAGGACTTCGAACATGGAAATAGGTAAAAGAAAACAATGACAAAAAAGATAAAGAAAAAAAATGCACATTAATAAAAACACTTGGCAAAAAAAGAAAATAACAACATTAATTTTTGAAAAAGAATCGTTCAATTAATTAAAATGGTTAAAATTTAATATTTTGATGACCAATGAATAATTAATAATTATAAATTACAAAATAAATAAAATAATTAAAAAAATAAATCAAAATCGAATGATATATGAAATTTCAATTAAAAAATTTTCCTTCTTTAAAATGTGTACACATTGAATTTAGTGATTTTTGAATTTTCTCGTATTTGTTTTTTTTTTTTTTTTTGATTTTATGGCATTTATGAGTATATTCCATCGTTTCATCTGCAGAAATTTCAAGTCTAATTTTTTTTTATAATAGTCCCTATTCTTGGATGGTCATGACCCACTAATTTAGAAAACCGGTGGTTCCAACCTTCCGTTTGATTATTTGCACGTTCGCCATTATTTATCGTAGTTTCATACACATTCCAAGTAGAAAGAGAGAACATAGATTAACATTTTCTTAATCTTTTTGTTTTTTTCTTTTGTAATAACACGCCTATATGTACCGTTCACGTAGGTCGAATCAAAATAATCCACAAGACCTTCAGCATCTTCAGGCATAATTGTTTTTGGATAAGCCTTACCTTCTATTACTTTATTTTCTGGTAAAATTCTAAAAAAATCAAGTTTAGCACAATAAGATCGAAATTCATTATTTTCTCTATATTATGTTTCTAGTACAAGTTTTTTAATTTGTCTATGTATATTTTGTACGAAATGATAAAAACAACCACTTATTTTTACGTAATCTCCCAAAATATTTTTTGGAACTTAAATCATATATTGTTCAAAATCCATGTGCACTTTTAAAGGATCTGTATATAAACTACTATCTTAACAAGCGTCCAGTATAATGGATAGCATTTTTTCGTATGTTTTTTGATTTGTTTACATAATAACACATAGAAAGCAGTAATAAAAACGGATTTAACATGTATTCTAAAAATATAGAGCTACTTAAATTCTGTAGGAGCTATAGCAAAATTACCATCCAAATACCATTCACTGGATTCGCTCATAAGTTTTAATCCATCGTCGGTAGCAAATATCGCAATTCTATTTGTTGAGTCTACCCCTGTGTCGTATAGTAAAAGTAGTGTATAGTTTGGTACACCAGTAGTCATCCAATCGTCTAGTAAAATTTCATTTCATTTATTAATAGAATTTATGTATACATATATAAATTAATATATTAATATTGTCGATATTTACATAATTAATCATGGATTTATTTCAATTCATTTTAAACATATTATATTTTTTCGCGAATAAATAAATTAAAATTGGATCAAATTACTAACCTTCGATAGCAGTTTTTCCGATTGGAATATTTTTAGACCATTGGTTTCGGAAAGTCCTTTTTACAATGTCTTCAACTGAAATTCGAGCTTTACATAAAGTCAAGAGTAAATTAATTCCTTCTGCATAGATTTCAACTGGATTTACTCGGGCTGATTTAGCTTTTTCCTTCATTTTTAATAAACATTTTGAAATTTGAAATCGTCTTCATTCAGTCCGTGGTTGTGTACAATTCCTGCGTTAGGATCTAAATTGTTTAACTTGGAGTACATTGTTCCGGGGCATTTTAATAACGAAAATTTATTGCATCTCCAATTTTTTTGCGTCTTCCTAACATTATAACATACATGTGGTCTTTCCAACAACATTTTTTTTTATTTTTGTTATATAAAATAATTTCCATAACGAAAAACCAAACATTTTACTTTAAATTTAAACGAACAAGACGTGAGACAACTGAAACAACTAACAATTAACTGCACGAATTCTACTATTTCGAACTTAGATCTAGATAAGTATAATATTTAATCAAAAATAATAAATTGTAAAATTTAGTAATACGCTAGTACAGGTACCTACTATTTTATTTTATGCCTAAGTTAGAAAACACCAAAAGTGTATATTATATTAATACTTGTTTTTATAAAAGAAAATACTATAATATTAAAAGGTATTAATTAGGTAAGTAATATATAAGTTGGAAAATACTAATAGGTAGGTACATAATATTAATAATTTTAGTTTTCTATATTATTAAATAGATTTTGAATTATTATTACGTAGATACCTATTAACACATTTAAAAGTATTAATTGAAAACAAATGTGTTTTCTATATTATTATTGCCGTTTTTTACTGTTTTTTTTTACATTATCTTTTTTTTTCTGTGACTTTTTCTGATTGTCTTTATTTTTCTTATCTTTTTTTTATTGCCTTTTTTTCCCTAGATTCCTCAAATACGACCTTGAGTCCACTGCAGTCAAAACCGTTTTAATGTTAGTTTATTAATAACGATATTTTCTAATTAGCCATATCAAAACGAAAAAAAAAAAAAAAAAAAATTAAACATGAAATTAATACTTTAAATTTAAAATGCTCGTAATTTGTCGTTGTATTATGGTGTACGGCTATTTCAATAACATTTTCTTTGCGCGGAGAAATAATTTTGTTCCGTTGTACATTTCATCAAATGCTTCAAAACAATATAAAATTAAATAACAATGATTTATAAAAAAAAGGTATCGTGTTTAAGGACATCTATGTTTTGTAAAACAGCATATAATTGCCACTCTACCTCTGGTAATGGGTGAGACTTTAAATACATTGGTGGAGACGTGATTATTTTTTAGGACAGAAATTCAGACTTATTTTTCAATATTTCATTTTAATGTACATGTGTTGGAAAAAGGAATAATGCGTTTGTATTACAATTATACATCAATATAGAATTTTAGAATGTACCAAGAGGGTGGTTATTATGTATCACAAACGAGTGATTGCTATTGGTGCGAATTAAAATTATTTTAACCCGCAATCCGAGTTGACTAGTTGGGAGTGTTACTATTAGAAAGTCAAAAGTCGGAAGACGTTTATTGTAATATCGATTCTATATAATATTCTATATTAGGAAGTTTAATAATCACCAAGGGAAATTTTAAATCCTCAGTCAAATTTCCCCGGCATAGATTTACCATCGACCAAATTTCTCTTGTGCATTTTTACCGGGAGCGGAGGGTCAATACATCTAGTCTAATTTGATCGATGGGATTAAATATCGGTGAGGTTAATTTTCGTGAGTACATTGGTTCGTGATAAAAGAATTTCCCTGTACGTACGCACATACCTGTACAACGAGTACGACGATCTTTCAGAATATATATTAACGGCAAAATGCCTGTCGGTTTTATCAGACACGAGAGGCTATAAATCAGAGGTGGCCAGCGAAAAGAGACTCGCGAACCATCCGATGTATTAACAAATATGAAGGAGCCGAAACGAAAAAATAGGTCACATTAACATATATATGAATATGATAATCGTAAATAAGATAAGTTATCTAAATATGTAATAAAACGTATAGAATTCAGTGACTTTTAACGTCCTCCGTATGGCAATATGGTGTCACAGTGATGTATAGTAAAATTATACTAATAATTCAACCGTTCGTCAAAATAGCATCTACAGTACAGTGACACACGTTTCGGCTATGCAGTTGTCACGGTTTTTACTGCGTTCTTTTGACTTTTAATTAGTTTATATTTTTTCTTTGCTTGCCGGATAATTTTCGGGGGATTAGTTTTTTTCCGACGCGACCTAATCAAATTCGATTATTTCGCAGATAAACGGTGATTATCGAATAACCACTATACGAAACAACGATAAACCGAGGTGAGGTGGCCGGTTTATATAATATCGATTTTATACATACGGCGGTAAGATTGCAGATTATTTTAGCAGCGAGTAACGACGCATAAAATACCGAATTTCAAAAGATCGCCACACTTAAAACGCGTGTACACAATCCCGAATGTAACAGGAAATAATCGATCGAACTGTATTTATAACATATAATATCATGGTATATCGTAATTGAAAAAGAATAAAACAAATTATCGAATTCAATTTCTCGCGCGATCGACGCGCATGCGGGTACACGTATACCGCGTGCACCAAAGTCTGTATGCCAGCTATTATAGAACTAAGCCAATTTTTTTTTTTTGAACCTAATAAGCCCGTGAACGACAAACAAAACCGTTTAACGAAAAAAACGCCGTCGGCATTAATTGTTCCTGTCGCGAAGCGCCGTAAATATACACGCGTTTCGATAATACGCGTCGCCGTATTGTATGTAAACGAACCGCCGAGAACAATAATTCAACGCACCTGATTCATTCGCGAGGTTTTCGTTTTTGTTCCCGGTGTTTGTAATTTAACAGCTGTAAATGGCGTGTATAAGTAATCAACATCGCGGTGACATTTACTTTGCGGTGTTTTTTTTTTTTTTTTTTTTTCACTCTCGTATTACACCGCACGGTCACTCGTCATTAATTTTGTAGACCCACCCTCCGAACGAATAACAATAAAACTATATTAAAATATATGTATACGTGCGCGCTCGAGCTTTGGGAAAAACGAGACGCGGGTCGTCCGTGACAATTTATTATTGCATTTACCTATACGCGTACGTGACAATATTGTATTATTATTGTTTTGCGATCCCTTGTGACCGCGGTTTATTTATTATTATTATTATTATTATTACCTTACCGCGTAGGATCGTTTTACAAAACCAGTATCCAATACGTACAATACGGAGACGGCTATCCAAAGATATTGTATGACATCGATGTTTTAGATTCGGAGCGTGGGAAGGGATCTATCGGGTTTGCTACGGTGTGTTTTTTTTTTTTTTTTTTGTGACAACCCCAAGAAACGGGGTTACATCAACGGACTAGTGGAACGTGAATGCGGATAGAAAGAGCGACGACGGAAAACGTCTCCGGAACTCCAGAGACATGTGTCTCTAAAAAGATATGATTATTATACCAAAAGACTCGGACACAAACATTGCTAAGACACGGAAAAGAAACATTTAACTTTACCGCGTATCTTTGACCTTTGAATATGATAAAAAAAAATAAAAAAGAGACTTAGTAGTTAGAATATGTTCCATCAATTTTTTTTAAAGTGAGCAACTATGTTCTATCCCGAAAACTTTTTCCGAAATATCGAGTGTGGCGCCTTTCCTGAAAAGGATTTTATCTAGTTGACGCGTTGGGGAAGTCGTTTTCTTGATTTTCCAACGGGCTTGAGAAATAATCGGAGAAACCTCGAAAGAAAATTACTGGTAAAACGGCTTGTCCGTTTCTATTATTTTTATTTAATTTGCTTACACGGTGTTTTATAACGGACATATTGCTCTAATCGAAAAATAATAAAAGGTCGATTGTGTTATTTTTTCAATGTATAGCCACTGACAAAGAAAGTCAGTTTCAACTTAAAAGCATTTTTTATAATTATTGGGAAAAAACAAAATATACGATTTTATCCAAATCATAGCACAACAATTTTATTCTTTTAAACTTTTAAGGCTTATGTTTTCTACCAAAAATATTGCTCCAATAGAAAAACAAGAAGATATATTTTTTGTTGAATTTTTAATCTGGACGCTGACCAAGAGAGTTGTTTTTTGATTTTCGTAGTTTTCACTAATTGAGTAAAACTGAAAAATACGTAGAAATTACAGGAAATTGTACAAAAAAAATTCTATTATAATTCAGATAACAAGTTCGTAGAGACTTGACTTTTTGATAAAAACTAATATTTATTTTTTCAGCATCAGCTCTTTTTTTAATTATTGAAATAATAATTGTATAATTAGTTAACGGAAAAATAATAGTGAACCTTAAGTGTGCAAAAACATAATATTTCACTGATTTGAACATTTTGCAATTCTCATTTAAGGAACGTAGGTATACACGTACGTATCATTATTTCGGAGCACGCGTTGAAATACGTGCTGAAAATATTATTACCCTTGATAGGAACTTTCTTGAGTTCAAAAATGAAACGTGAATTCATTCATCGATGGAATTTAAAATTGCAATTACTAATTATACCCACGAAGCTCGTTAGAGAATTTTAATTGGCATATTTTCCTTTTTTTTTTTTTCGTATTATATTTATTTATTAACAATATACCGGCTATCGCCCAAAAGCTGAGCAATGTACATTTTGGTTTGTATAAGGTAATTATTATAAAACACAATAAGATTTAAACAAAATTTAATGAGGTAACTATAAATAACACCATAAGATAAAATAAATTAAACGAGGGATCGTCATTGGCGAGTTTCATTATGTTGCCTAAATGCTCGTTACTAAGATAATTAGCGGAGTGAAGAGGAATAAAAAACGGAGTTGACTTACGAGGGTTCTCGGTCGGTAGTTTAAAGTTAATGAGAGAAAGAAGGGCGAAAGAGTTAATAGAATCAGTGATAAGTCTTTAGAGGAATGAAATATCAAGAGCATGTCTACAATCTACCGATGATACCAGATTGTGTTTATGTACTGTAACTATGTACTGTAACTATGAGGCGCGAAGGTACTAACTCTTGTAAAACAAAAAGAATTCTGTTGGACACGTTCCAGTTTGTACCTGCAGCTGTCTGAGGGTCCTAAATAACCGACCCATATATTAGTATCGGTCTGTACTGACGTGATCGGTTTAGTGACTTAAGCGAACTGGATGACTTAAATTCAGAAGCTAGTAACTTTAAAGGATATCTAGTCTATAATTCCAACATAAATGTATTGTTACAATACCTATCCTAAACTTATCAACATTGAAAACATACTTTAGATTCTGATAGGGAGAATGTATTGGTTTTACCATAATACGATTTTTCTTATGTATCTGTATACAACTTTCTTTACGAGAAATCTTGTTCCGTTGAAAAATTGTATGTCAATTTTCTTGTAATATATTTGATCTAGTCGATGAGAATGTCTTTCTTTTTGGGATTATCTTTTCTTTTTACATTTTTATCTAACTTTCATTAAAACATCTATCGATATTATATTGCCAAATCACCTCAGGCCTTTTTTCTTGTTAATTTCTTAGAACTTGGCAACAGGGTAAAACACGACTAATAATATAATCACTCAGAATCGTTTTTCGTTATCAACGGTTTATCATTGGATATACATTAATTTACTGTATATATATATTTATCTTCTTTCTTGCTTTAAAACTATGGCCATCAGCGATATCAGCCTTTTTAAAATTTGTAATTAATTAAAACGTAAAATAAATAATAAAATGCTAATTTTATATTTATCGTGAGATCATGGCGTTATTCTTGTTCACATCAACAATTAATACGTACCTATCCATTATAATTATTTATAATGCCGAGTTAATAAAACAAAAGCAATATTTCACAATTTGCGGGAAATACTTCAGACTTCAAACACTAATTAATTATTAATTACTGTTAGTTATATTTTTACTCACAAAATGTCCTGTGTACAAGTGTTTCAAGTTCGCGTGTTCGAAAAATAACAATTTTGGAAAAAAAACTTTTAAGTTTGTAATTCCTTATCTACTGTGTGAAACCGTGTTGCGTGCACCATAAATAATAAATACTTTCAATATTATTTTCGTTGTCTGTACATATTTTACTAACCGATAAGTCACCTGCATTTGAATAATTGAATAAAATAGGAATTGTTTTAACCCGAAAAAAAGAACATAAAAAAATTAATTAAATAAACGAATATATACGAGTATAATAGAACGCATATGTGTATTGTATAGGTTTTGGGTGGTCCTTATTTTTGAACACTATTATTTTGGATACTGAACTCCCGTATTTTTTTTATCACCGTATGAAAATAATCTGTGTGCAATTTGAACATGATAACTCAACCCTCTTCCTGTGCCACAACAGGGTCGAACAAATGAGGAAATAGGGTGGTTTTATGGTTTTTCGCAAACAATTCAATAACTTTATAACTGATTATAAAATGACATTTTAAGACTTTTTGGTAGCTTTTCTTAATGTCGATATAATTTATTATTGTATAATTTACTGTAAAATCTGTATTTTCCCGAGAAAACTTATAAAAAACAAAACACTTAGCGAAACTGATATTTTTTAAGGCTATTTGATTATATTTGTCAAACGGTTGATGATAATATGAAACAATGTCTAATATAAAAACGATATGAAATCTAGGCGTATAATATTATAATCAATCGCATTAAGAAACCAAGAAAATAATTGTCGGGACATTGACGAAACGGGTTTACGACGTGGTGTCTGAGCACCGTACAAGACGTGACCTATCAGGACACAACTCGGGTACAAATAACAAAATACTTGCGGACGTGTGTCGTTTTAGTTATCTAATTTCCGCCCCCGTTATCATGTGTTATAATATTTAATTACGGGCTCTCGCGCACCTGCTAACAGCTGCAGTTTTCCGTTTTGAATCATTAGTATTATTATTATTATTATTACTCTTATAATAATTTTGATAGGATTACGTGTCCGTTACCGTTATATCGAGGCGCACGCACACACATCATGCGCCGTGCGCGAAAACTGCAAACATCGCGTGCCAAAAATACACACATACGACCAACGCCAATACAATGTCCATACGCGATACGATGTGCGTTATTCGAGTAAGTAATACACTGAGCCAGGCTAGATAACTGATTTTTTTTTGTTTTTATTTAGTTTTTAAAGTCGAATCATTTTAAAAAATAAAATAATAATAATAATATTAATAATACTAATAACTAAACTAAAAGTTTGCTAAAGTTCATATTTTAAAAAGATACGGACATACTTCGCACGATAGGCGGGCCACTGTTGTAGATGAAAAGTTGATAAGGCAGAGGGAAAATGCAATATATATCTGTAGGTACGCAACAATTAATCATTGCTAACGAAAAACGATTCTGAGCAACGTTCGGTCGCACATGTTTTGAAAGACCGTAATATTTACGATTTGAAAATAATGCATTTGGTAAATTGTCCTGTTTTCCTACGTTTTTCCTGATTATTATGAAAACCGCTAGAAAAATCAAAAAATAATTCAAAATACTACCCCAGGAAAATTGCCTTTCAGAAAAAGTGTTGACTCGAAAAGCGGAGCGAAATTTCTGGTGAAAAAGTTGTTCACAAAATAAAAATGGTGTAATATTTACGATTTTCAAATAAAACATTTTGTTCATTTTCCTCTTTTTCCCCGTTTTTTTTTTTTCGTTTATTGGGAAAACCAAAAATTACCATTTTTATCGAAACTTATGATATCGTACCATAGTACTACAATACTGAATCATATCGAAATATCTGATTAATATTTTATTCTTATTTGAAAAAACATACTCACGATTACAACGCTACGCCAATGGCAATAATAGGTATCTGGTTATTTTACACGAAATTAGTTTGTCATATCAACATGTCTCCTTGCGAACAAATTTGGTTTTCGTACCTATATATATATAAATTATTTTCCCACTAAATTGAATTTAAGTTATAACACATATCCAAATGGTACATAATATGACAACACGTAACTACACAGTCTACTGTGGAAATGATTATTTTGAAAGACGGCTTTGTACACACAAATCCTTTTAACACACTAGGTATTTATTGCATTATAATGCATAAACACAATACGTAACTGTTCCTATTCAAAAAAAAAATTATTTTATTTAAACTGTCGAATACATTAAAATACATTTTAAAATAACATGTTTTATACATGCAATTACGTAATTTTCGTTAAAAAACAAATGTAAAAATCATAGGTCTACGCAGTTTTAGTTTGCATAACATTCGCAGATAACTTTTTAGAAACAAAATCAATTTTAACCAAACGACTAAGTAAGTTAAGTCAAAATTATTAATTAAACGACAAAACTATAGGTTATGTTTTAACGTCATTTTTTTTTCAAAAAAGATTACGTCAAGATCAATGATATTAAAAAAAGTAACTTATAACTTGACTTTGAGATTTTTTACCATAGTTACTGTCCAACTTTGGATTAAAATGCAGACCGTTTTTTTTCAAAGGTACGGGAAATGGGACTACTGCAGCCTATCGTGAATAAGACGTCGGCGAAGAAAATCGAATAAATCGTTGTCCATCGGCGCGGGTAAATAAAACGGCTTTTTAACGGATTCGAGGCGTCGCTTTAGGGAAAAAAAACCGTTTTGATAATCCGTCAGAGGTATCTATATATAATATAATAGCGAGAATATAAATGATTAATAAATAAACCGAGGGCCCGTCTTCTACCAGATTAATCGTGCGTATATCCTTATTGACACAACACACACACGTACAAATTCACACACATATGTATATATAATATACAGGGTAGATTCTCTTATGTGCAGCGATTATACCTACGACAATTTCGAGTAAATTCGATATTTTTCAATAGAATCGTTTGAACAATACTATCTGGTATACAATATTATTATACCTTTCACGTGTATTATACTTAATATAATAAATACCGTAAACCGCATAAATCTGTCAAATTGCATATGCCAGCGAATGCGGGTCACTGACTAAAGAGTAAAGGGAAATAGTAGACGATTGATTAATTTTGAAAAAAAAAGGCGCTACGTAGTACTCGTATAAACGGTTCAAATTATAATACAAAGTCACAGAACTTCGAAAGAAAAAAAATCGAGACCAACAGATGTATATAACATACTATGTCTAGAACGGTTCGGACATGTTTGGAGAGCTGGTGATAGTAAAAATGATGCATCAATAAGTAACAAAAAATATAAAAACATAAAAGTAAGATAAAATAACCGTCAAAAAGCCTATATGGATCCACTGGGTGGACGTGATTGTTTATGATATAGAAGTTAGAAAAGAACGCGACGATAGAGGGAGAGACGGAGAAGCTTCGTGAAGGCAGCGTGGATAGTCGCCTCAATGGACCGACATGCAAGCCGAGCAAGGAGAAGACAAACTACGCAATATCGTATCGAATTTTGATTTTCGGGCAAAAATAGTTAGATATTGTTAACGTTTGCGTTTGAAAATGAAATATTTTCTATAAAAATCCCGTTAACGCAAAACACTAATATAGGTACGTACATAGTCGGGGCAACTTCTTTATCGTTTACGAGTTACAAAAGTTAAACTATATTTTAAAGAAAAGTGTAGGAGGAAAATCAAAATGTACTTGCGTAGATAACAATCGCCTGTTCACAATGGTAAAAAAGAATCACCCTGTATACATACGTATATATTTACGAGTTTTCGGAGGGGAAATGACAACGACGGTCTTCAAACGCGTTTTTTTTTTTGAGCCGCGGTCGTCGTTATACGCCCGGCCGGAAACATTTTCGAAATTCGATTGGTACGCACGTTTCGCGACCGCGATTACCGTCGACGATAACGACTACGGTAATAATAATAATAATAATAATTATTGTTGTTGTTGATATTGTCGGGCCGTTTAAGTATCGCGCGCTCTCAGTGGTCGCGAAGCCACCCGAAATCCATCGAGGGGAAAAGCCGATTTACACCCGTTAATCATATCGTTAATCATTGTCGACGCGGCGTTTAATAGAACGCTCGAGGTTGAGGGGATACGGGGACGAAAAGCCGTGTCGCGTAATTTTAACTCTTTACGTAAGATTAAAACCGATTAAAACCGAGTCGCGTGTTACGTTGTGACAATACGTCGTGCGCACAGTGTGCAAGTCCGACGGTCCCCTTTTACCTACAACAACCCTCCCCCAACCGAATCGACAAAATCCGGTCGGATCGTTCGGAAGCCCCGTAAAAAACGTTCACGCGTTTAACATCGTGACGTTAAAATTCCGATTCGATAAATTCGAATCGGAATATTTTTTAAATAATTGATTTTTTTTTTCTCACGACGACGTTAATGTGAATATTGTTTGGAGGCCTATCGAATCCCTTAACGCGTGGCTCTGTCTACCACACCGATAAGGTGTTCACTCGAAATCGAGTGAACACACTTGTCGTCGCGTTTTTTTATCTCTGTGAGTTTCGAATCGTTTCAAAAACGACCGCCGTTGTGGCATTGTGTCGCGTGCCGCGGTCTTTTACCGTTTCTACATTTCAGTCGCGAATACGCTACAGCGTACAGTGGCATGCAAAGGGGATGGGAGGTTAAGGGTTATATTATTTCCCCCATTGGCTTAAAAATACGAAAAAATATTAGTAATCTAATATCGAAATGCATAATATATTTCAGTCGAGTTACGAGGAAAACCTCAGCGTATTAATCGAAAATCGGCCTATTTCCGGTCTAGTGGGGTCGGTTGAAGACGACTTTACGATTTATTCGCAATTCGCTACATCTCCTCCCGTTGAAAATTCCCGGGCGCGTCACTGAAAGTGCATCACATAATACGCGTGTGAGTTTAACGGAGACATGCGGAACTTCCGCCTCGTCGTCACTTGGGCTGACACGTTCGCGTCAGGAAACGGTTCGAATTTATTGTTTTTTTTTTTTGTCAATTTTCGTACACGTCCGTCGGAAGTCGGTTTTTACAAGCGACTTCACCCGATTTCTGCGGCTGCGACGGGCGTTTTATTATACCGCCGAACGATTTAATCGGTATTTAATCGTTTCGACCTCCGATCGCTGCGGCCGCGGGTTCACGTTAAACCGCCAAAAGCTTCGGTCGCGCGCGAATTTCCCGTCCGCCGCCCGGTTGAACTCCGGCCAGAACCGCCGCCGCCCGCATACGTCGTGCGTCCGAGTATTCTACCGGTTTGTGGTCACCCTGTAGTACGACTCGCGCCGGGTTCGAACGGTTAACGGGAAAGAAAAAAAAAAAAGTTTGGTCTCGAAGTATAATAGACTCGTGCAGTATACGGTATTTCGACGCGTCGTCGATCCGTCAAGAAGAGACGGCCTCGATACAATGTTATTTATTATTAACGCGTGTACGATACGATATATTGCTTTCGGTATAATAATAACGCGGCGGCGTATGGATACCCGAAAAAAAGTTAGTCTCTAACGTTATTAAAATATTGCCGTTGTTATAATATTCTACGTTATCGGCGACGGGTTTAGCGCCCGCGAAAATTCGAGACGTCTTATAACGTATTATACAGCGTGCGCGCTTATGGTATTGTAGATAATATAAAAGTGTCGATTTCGACTCGCGGCGTACCCGGTGCCGCGCGTCTGTGGGAGAGAGTGGTAACGGGTGAGGGGGGGGGGGAAGCGAACGCGACTGTCGGGCAGGGGGACGATTTTTTTTTTTCCGATGGAATAACCGGACGAAAATCTTCCGTATAGTTTTCGCGGTCGCCCGGAGCGGATTTAAAATCGCCGCCCTATCTTCTCGCTTTTACCGCGCGTCAGTCGTCCGCAAGGAAATTCGATAGATTTCGCGCGACCGTACCGTCCGCGACTACGCGTTCTCTTATATTTCTCGGTCCCCTCCCAGGCCCCGCTCCCACCGATTCATTCCGAACCATGCCGCGATGTAAATCAATCCGGCAACGCTTTTCTATAGCGATAAATACAGCGGAATGACCGACGGTAAATAAAAAACAATCGTATTTGTATGACAAGCGACACGAGCGTTACGGCCGGCGAACACTTTTCGACTGAACATTTTGAGAGGTTTGGGTGGGTGAGGGAAACGGACGTAACGCGCGATATGGACGCGATATTTCATCGTCTCGACACCGATGATCGTTTATGTAGGGTCCGTTATCGTTATTTCAACATATCGATGTTCGTTTGCGCCTTCCCGGAGAAAAAAAAAACAACGAATGCGTCTGGCACGTGCCTTCCCCTCGGGTCGCGCCAAACGGTCAATTTCCCGAGGGAGGGGCGGGGAGCGCAAGTCTTTTTCCGAGCACGAACGTCGTACTTTATTAACATGAATTTCGTGGACAGGGGGTTATTTTTTCGGTATCACAAGGGCAAAAAAAAAAAAAAAAGGATAAGTGAATAAAATCGTATTTTTCTACGGACGATTTTCGCGGCGTACCATACAACTACGAATATAATATTATCGTTATAATGTGTTATGCGAACACACGCTACGAGACAGCGTATGACTACGTATATATATGTGTATACATATATATATAGGTACCTTCTCTTTGCTGTGTACGTGGACGACAAGTACGAATATGACATGGCAACACGGTCAACGCATTATCGGGCCCCGGAGTTTTTTCCGGGACGTGACGCGCACTCGCGCACCGCACGCACTGTCCGTAAAAACCGGTATACGCACTATGTCACGATACAGACGAAATTTTTTTTTTTTTTCTATTCGCTTTTTATCCCGTTTATGAAAAAAAAATTTAAAAAAAAAACAATAACTATCGTCGATCGCGTCGGCGGCGAACGCCCGTTTTTTCGCGAGCTGTGTGTCGGACGGTACGCGCGGAAAATCGAAAACGCGCGCGTAACAAATACCTGGCGGATCGGGCTCGGGAAAAGATCGCGGCCACGGCCTACGGCGACGACGACGACCACGACGACGACGACGACGACGACGACGGACGGCTACCGCGCGGCGGTACTGCGGGCGGCGGCGGCGGCACATGACACGATATTCGCGTGAGACGCGAGCGCGCGCGGCCGCGGGAGACGCGCACGGGATAAAAAAAAAAAAAAAAAAAAAAACCACACACGCGCAATATTTTCGTGTGTACGCGGCCGCGTTTATAGCCCCGCGCGCGTGCGGCGGCCCGACCGCGCGGATGCCGCGACGGCTATACGCGCGCTCTTGTGCGTGGGTAAAATCCGCCGCCGCCGCCGTCCGTGTGCGCGTTACGGACGCGTCGCGAGCGTCGAGAGGCCGTCACGGCGGCATATTCGCGCCGTCTCTGCGCGAACGGATGACAAAAAAAAAAAAAAAAAAAACCCGCGCGAAAAGAACGCGAAAACGCCCCGTCACGAGACGACCGGCGAGACGAGACTGTGCGTGTCGCCGGAGACCCGTCGCCGCGGTTTTTCGCAAATACCGGGGGGGAAAAAGGCCGAACAATACTCGCCGCCGCCGCCGTCGCCGTTACCTAACCGGTCGGACGCGAACGCGGCCGTCGACGACGGTGACGTACCGCCCGCGAGACTCGGTTGGGTCTACCGGCCGTCCACCGCGCCTCGAACGCCGCGGTGCAATACGCTTTTTTTCTCGTACGGTAAACTATTGTTGCGCGGCCGGCGGTGTTGCGCCGCGGGGTGCACACCGTCCGTTACAAGGCGGTACGCTCTCGGCGTTTTGTGAAAAAAATCGCGGGTGTTCGCGTGTACTCCCGGAATGGTTAAAAAAATTAAAAAAAAAATCCGTTCGCAATTATCGTGGGGCCGGACTCGCGTCGCTAAAACCGAAACGGTAGTATTGTGTTTATCGCGGTGATTATTGTCCAACCGAACGTTTCACAAGTGTTTCACGTTACGCAGTACTTTAAGAATGTCGAGTGTTTCGTTTTAGGTTCTGAGCGGAGCGAGGAATGTTTCGATTTTACAATGATGTTTATTGTTTTTCTTTTTGTGTTACGCCTGGTCTACCAGACATTTTACCACGGTTTCCAGGTGTACAGTACTATTTTTGAAAGGAAATCTGATTGGTGTGGTACTTTGAGGAGGTCGTTTTTTTTTTGATTTTCCCAATGGTTTTCATATTAAACGGGAACGAACGTGGAAAAACGGAAAAGTGCACGAAGTGTACTATTTCGAAATCGTAAATATTACGGCTTTTTAAAACACCGGACTCCGCTCAGAATCTTTTTTTCGTCAGCGGTCATACATTGTATACATTAAATTTCCCTTCTGCCTTCCCGACACTCCGACAACTACAACCCACCGATCGTGCACAGTATGTCTGTTTGTTTTTATTTTGCACGATTATTTCCCGAGAAAACAATGCGTAATCCATAAGAAAGATTTATAAAATCGAATGTTACGGTGAATTTACGGGGGCACCGCTGAACCATACCCGTCCGCGTTGTTCCAAACGGTTTTACCGCCCCCGACGACATTGAGGTGTTCGTCCGCCGCCGTTTACAAATCGTAGGTATATATTACGATTATAGGGCCCGGATTTATAAGCATTTGCGTGTTTTTTTTTTTTTATTTAACAGTCCAAAAACTGGCTAGATAAGCTCCAGGTTTGCAATTGTTAGAGTCAATGGTTCCGAAATGCAAAGTTTTGTTTTGCATATTTCGTTATTTTTTAACGTGTTTACTACGCGTACACTGTGTCTGTATTTTACGATTTTTCATCGCGTTGTAGCCGAATACCTAAGCGTTTCAAAACCGTTGGTTTTACCATGTTGTTCGTCGGTACTATCCGCGCGTACCTAAATGGCTCGCGAGGAATTCGTTTTCTCATATTGTCTAACGGCTCGAAAAAAGGGACAACACTTATCGGGACCAGTTGTTGTAATCGCTTTCGTTTTCGCACATTCCGCGTGTCCTAACGGCGGTCAGTGCGTAAACGCGTGCGTATCTCGTACGTGTTTTGATGTACATTAGTTTCGGGCCCTGGTATCATAATACGGGGCCTCGCGTCCGAAACGGATTTTCGCGGGACTCTCCGTTCGTTTCGCGCGAACACGTTTTCGACGTGCGGCGCCCGCCCACCCCCCCCNCCCCCCACACTCCCCCCGACCCGTCCCGTCCCGTCGCCCGCCGTCGGACGTACAGAAACGCCGAACGTCCGCGGCGGCGACGGCCTCTCGGAGCTCCGCGCGCGTAGGTGTGCGCGTGTGTGCGTTTGTGCGTGTGCGTGTCGTCGCGAGTCGTACGTGTCGTTTTAGCGTGTCCGTCGCACGGCCGTCGACGGCGCGCCGAGTACGACACCCGTTAAATTTAGCTTCGCGCGTCCGAGCCAAATTTCCGATCTTCAATTTACACGACGCGTTTGAAAACGCTGCAATAATAACATCGTAAAGAATACCGCGCGTGACATAATACACGAAATTACGGGCGGACCGGGGTAGACGGACGTTTTACGGGAAAATTCGCAGGCAATTGCGAACGGAAAAAAAAAAACCAAACGAACGAAACGGACGACATTATACGATATCGTACTACGCGCGCCCGGTGACGTAGAGAGGGTAGAGGGGAAATTCGATTTGTACGCACGTAAAGACGTTAACCGCCGCTGGCGAAAAAACGATTCTGAGCGCAGTACGGTTGTGCGCGTTTTTCGAAAGCCGTAACGTTTACGATTTGAAAACGATACGCTTCGTACGTTTTCCCTTTTTTCGCATTTATTACGAAAACCGCTGGGAAAATCAATAAAACGACTTTTCTATAGTATTGACTAGAGAAAATTTCGTTTCAGAAAAAGTACTACGCATTGATACATCGGAGCAAGATTTCTGGTATAGTAAAGTTGCTCACAGTATAAAAAAAAAAAACCAAACAACATTGTAAAACCAATACACTCCTCGCTACGCTCTGAATCTAAAACCGTACACGGGAGGGGGGGAGAAAAACCCGAAAGACGCGTTTTAAATTCTGAGCCCGGCGGGGAATGTCTGTTAACGACTTTCCCACCTGAAATATTGCTCCGGTTTTCAAAAATATATTAGCATAGTTTTTGAAAACGTGTTGATTCCGTTTGTATAGTTTACCATAATAATTCGGAAAAATCCGCGAAAATGTTTCGCCACAAACGGTTTCTTCATTTTCGATTTATTCGCGTGTATTGCAGATAATCCTGTTGAAAGAGATGTACAATTCTCACATAATACCAATATAAGCCTTTTATAGACAAGGCAAAACTTTCAAAGTATCGAGCCATTTATAAACGTTTGACGTTTTCGAGTTTCGTTCAGTTTTTATTGAGTTATACAGTGTGTATACAATTATTTTGGCCGAGTAGAAACGCTTGACCATTTTACACGAGGTCTATCACGAGTTTAACTTAGCGGTAAAAAAATAAATAAAAATTTAGCGTGATGAAATCGTTTTTTTTTTTTTTTTGTCAGCAGTATTTTAAGATCAAATTTTGACGAAAATCGTGAAAATCACGGTGTTTCAGTACATAAGTTCGAATCGAACTTCACTCGAAATTGTATTTCGTCACACAATCGCCCACAATTATTGATCGCTGCGTACAGATATAAATTTAAAAACTGTGTGTATCCACTAATCGAAGTTCCTATCTACTATGGTGACACGTCCATCAGCAGTATCGTCTATTTTTATTATTAAATCTGAGAAAAACACGTTTTTTTTAAAAAAAATTTCAATTTTAATAGGTTTTTTTCTCCGCGGTACGGTAAGCTTTCAACTGTCCTGCAAATTTTCGTAAAATGAAGCGTCGTACACTTCCAAAACGATAGCGGTATGAATCGATTACGAAGATAAAAAAATGGCAACCGCCATCATTACCGTGATGTACTCGTATATCACGTTTAGTGCATTTTTGGAACTTTTTACGCGAAAAAGTTACGTTATAATATTAAAAATTACCGGGGGTTGCTGACGAGAGTTTTTCGGCGGACTTTGATTTCATAGGTTTACCGCTTTGTTCGCGAATGCCTGTGAAATAGTTTCTGTCAAAAAGCAGTACCGCTAAATATTCGGGAGAGTACTCGAAAACAAGATACACGAATAGTGCGGTTGGTCCGACCGCAACTAAATTACGAACGATGTTTTGAATATCTGTAACTTTTCGGGTCGGCGAAATTTTCGAAAAACGTCCCTCGCTAATGTTCCTGAATCTCGTTATTTCATGTCAACGATATTAATTTAAACCCAAATTTACGGTCCAAGTATCAAAAAAAAAACAAAGATGTATGTTTTTAATTCATCAAAATAAACGTAAAATAGGTGTTAATATTTAAAAATAAATAATGTAATTGTCTACTCAAATGATGTAAACCATAAACCGTGGAATACTATAATACGTCTTGATTTCATTTTCAGCATTTTACAGTTGTTTAGATTCTGGGTGAAGCGAAGAAGCTTATGGTTTTACAATGATGATTAAATTATTTTTTTTATCTGTTAACAACTTTTCCACCAGAGAACTTGTTCCGATTTTTACGTGTAGGAACTTTTCTGAAATTAAATCGGTGTGAGAAGGTACTTTATGGAGGTTATTTTACGATTCTTCTCAGGAGTTTTCTCATCAAATTTTGAAAAACCACAAAAAAAAAACGGAAAAATATAAAAAATCTATGTATTAGTTAAAATATATTACGGCCTTCTTTTTTTCTGTGAACAACTTTTCTACCAGCAATTTGACTTCAACTCTTAATGATAAAAATGTTTCTAAAAAGAAATTTCAATAGGCAGGTACTTTAAAGAGATCATTTTTCGATTTCCTAAGGGTTTTTCTCAGCAAATGTAAAAACCGGGATAAAATATGGGAAAACTAAGAAAAACGTAAGAAAATTAAGAAAATCGGTAAATCATTAAACAAATATCATAAAAGAAAATATATAAAGTCAATTTAATTATTTTACTATTAAATGACATGTACAGTGAAACCAAACTTAATGGACACTTTTAAATAGCGCACGATTTTTCGGAAACGGTGACATTTTAACCTCTTTTATATAGGAAAACCTCTAAATACTGGACAATTTTATGACAAATCAACGTCTTAAACAAGCTGAAAAAACTGATTTTTTTAATTGATGTTGATTTTTATTTTAAAATAATTTGTACTTACATTTTCATTAGTATAAATATTACATGCATACATTTGTCCATAGTTATTAATTTCTCAGAGTTATTTTTAAAAATTGTTTTCCCCTCTGAATAGCGGACACCTCTAAATAACGAACAAAATTACGGCGACCGAGAGTGTCCGATATTTAGTGGTTTTACTGTATATTATTGACAAAGCATCACTATCAGCTGAACTCAGCTCAGAGTTTTTTTTTTTGTAAGCAATGGTTTATCGTTGTTTACAGGTATATATTAAATTATCTACAACAGTGGCTACACCCATTCCTATTATCCTAGGACGTCTTTTTTTTTTAAAGCTAATATTTAGATAGTAACATGCCCTTTCTTCCTCATTTCTTTTCAAGAAATACCAACCTATTGTTTGTATGCTATAAATAGGTTTTGGAATATAGTTTCATTTTGTCCCCCATTTTAAAAATTACCCTATCAGCGTCCTTGGCCATTTTCCAACTTTTTTTTTTTCGTAATATTCACTCGGAGGAAGAATAAAAATCCTCGTCGAAGCATGTTTTTCGGACAGCTTGACTATCGAAAAGGACCGCGTATAAGTCCTTTCCGTTCTTCCTCTCTCCCTTGTCTCTTGATTCTTGACGTCTGAAAGGAGTCGGTCGAAACGGTCCGAGTCTTGAATTATTATATCGGAATACGCGCGCGAATATTACACTTGAAGGTGAATAATGTGAGCTGTCGCGGGTCGTCGACAAATTACTCACAATCGTCGTAAAAGCCCGCCCGCACGAAACGAACAAGAGAGGTAATAATGTATAATTTGTATTTTTTTTTTAATTTTATTTATTTTTTTTTTTTTTTCAAGCGGACGGTTTTATTCTATAGCATAATATAATATACGTTTTTATAAGCCGATAAAATCGTGGACATTCAAACTACGGTGTTCCGTTGCAATTCAATCGGAGTTTAGTGGTTTCAAAATGTACCGTTTTTAGGTCAATGAATACGTTTACGGCGAATAATAAGTACCCGTACAATATGTATATTATTATACGGAGATTAAACGATATACGATATAATATAATATGCATACGACTTACATACTTGGCTGTTCGTAAAATATAATATTCCGCTGACAAAGGCGGTTCGACCGTAAATAACGCGCGTATTATTATGGCAGTTCAATAGTATTTATAAAAGACCCGAAGTGACGTTTCGTATAATATTATATATGTTTAGATATCTTTTTACACGTATGACTATTTCTGCGCACGACGTTTCTTTCATTAAATTAAAGCCAAACAATATACAGATATCAAAAAAACCATATAAAATTACATTTTGCTGAATATAATACCTATATACTCTTATATATTATATATATATATATATATATAATTTAGTGTGTAATCAATCGACAAATCTCCCGAGACATTAAATTAACTGAAACCTCTAGAACCGTGACTAATTCAAAACCAATGCACAAAGTCAGACAGCAGTGATTCCGATGTACCTACCTATATCATCGCTGCAAATTGTATTAAAACTCGGGGGTATTCTCGCTAGACCGCATAATGTAATCTTCTGTAAATTGTTTCGAATAAACGGTTTTATCGCCACATCGGTACCGCTCGTCCCTATAATATAACGATTTAAAGCCATCACGTTAACCGTAGTGTTTACCCCCTTTGCGGGGGAATTTCAAAGATTTACGCAGTACCTACAACGGCCGGATAAATCAATGTTGAAAAACAATTACGATTCAACCGATTCAACAATTTATATCTCATGTTGTTTACATGTTGTATACAATACAGAGATAATAATAATTGTTATTTTCCGAGTTGAAGTCTTCAAACGTTCAAGTTTTAAATCGACGTAAGTATTGATCGCGTCGATTTTCTGCAGATATCGTTTGGATATGGTTTGAATTGTCGAGAAATTTTTTTTTAGGTTTACGGATTAATTTGGTGTATATATACTACTAATGATGGATCCAGAAGGGGAGCCTGAGGGCCTCGCCTCTTCAAAACTATAGACTGTAGAAAAATTAATACTTCCACAAATAATTAATAATGTGTTTAAATACATATATAATACATTTTGAAAAAAGAAAAACAGAGCGAAGAGATGAATGTATTGATTGTATTTATTTTTGTTCTAACTTTGAACAAATTTTCTACAAGAAATCTTACTCCAATGAAAAAATAAGTTATTAATGGCTTATCACCGCTTACAGATATAAATTAATAATCTTATGTGTCTTAGTTTTTCTACTTCCCACCTACAACAATGGTTATACGCATCCCTAGTATAACCTCGTTTATTTTTGTTTTGTTTAGTTGTAATTTTTTTCAGGAGGCCCCCAAATATTCAACTCTGGATCCACCATTGTATACTATATCATGTAAAATCATTGTAAACGAGAAGACCATTTTGAATGGAATAATATATTTCAATCATGTCTATTCCCTTATTACTAGAGTAATCCAGAAATCAACAAAAAGGATCTTGGGAGTGAACCACTAAATACTTCGGTAAATTTTTCATAAAAAATACCATCGTGCAAAAATGGTATACTTTTTTAGTTACTACGTGAAAATCCTAAACAAAAAATATTGTAAATATATTAAAATTATATTAAAAAAATGTCCTAGAAAAAGTATTTAGAATTTCGAAATTTAATGTGAATAAAATACCATGAGATGAAATATTCGCATCAGTTAAGATATGCTACGAACGGCTAAGAGCATTTGTACTAACCGTAAAAGTGTAGTTTGAAAAAAAAAACATGTTTTTGTAGTATAACTAAAAGATGATTCGTTATACTCGGATTTAGTACAAAATATTTAAAAGCTTTGATATATTATAGAGAACAAATTCAATGGCCATCAGTAAATTATACATTACGGTTTTAGTGCAGTACATTTTCAACTATAGCGACAAAAGACACGCACGATTTTTAACACGATTGAAGTACCGCACAAAATGGATATTTAGTATAACGGCGAAACGGAGTTTGAAGATACATTATATATGGAAATTTACTTGGAAATTCTCCAATTTAGTTTTTAGGCTAATGAGATATGGCTTATAGGGTTTCAAGTAACGGTGGCAAACACTGAAATTATCGGGAAATCAGAAAAAAATAATATAAGGACATGGTGAAATATTTCTATAAATATCTGTATAATAATATTTTTAGAATATTCATAAAAACTAACCGCTCGATTTTAATTGAATTTCATTCACCGCAGTACAAAATTTACTACGATCCGTTCAATTAATATGGTAAGTATATATTTGTATAATAGTATGTTTAATATTGTTGTATAAAATTTATTCACGGAAAGATACTGCAAGATTGCACACAATCGCAGTGTAGATTTAAATAAAGTAGACAGAAATATGTTTTTAAATAATGTACGTATACAAAAACGAAAAATATATAATGTGACTTTGATGCGGTTCGGAACTCCGGAAGATCGTTATATTTCGTCATAGGAAACAAAGTTTCAAAGTACACGCATTATTCGTTTTATCGCGGCAAGACGAGTGAATCGTGATATTGTAAAATGAAAGTAGGCGTTATATAGTAATATACTTGCTCCGCATCGGTATAACTAAATAATAAATTTCACGGAGAAGTTGTAAAGATAACATAATATTATAAAGTTGTCGACTAGAAATAATGACGTCAGAAGTCAACGTTCGTATACAACTATTTACACATCTGGTGTTTTTTTTTTTTTTTAAACAAACACACACACACACATACACACATATGATAATTTCTTTACAGTTACGGTGACACCAAAATTATTATACAATACCGAGTACGTTCAAAAATTAATTAGTTCCATATTTCTATAGTGCCTAACTACGGTAAAAAAAAGAATTGCCAATATTAATACGGTGGACATATTAATTGGTTGAAAAGTCAAAATTAAGTTAAAAAATTACTTTTTTTCAAAAAACCTTTTGAGTAGTTAGTTATTTTTGAGTTTTCATTGTATACTCTTAACTTTGTATGATTAATTTTCATAGACATCCAATTAAGTAAACGAATCGAATGATGTCTTTCAGTTTTAGTTCATTTTTAATTGGCTGTTTTCTGTACTGCGATTTATGTATTAAAATTTACCGTGATAGTTTCTTTAACTTATTTATATTTGAATTAAAAATATATAAATATATCTCTTACTTTATATCACATAATTTTAGTATTGATTTTCTTTGTAGCAATAAAAAAAACAAACTTTTTTAACGTAGTTAACTTAACATTGTATTTTTACTTTAAACTAGATGTGTTTTTTTTTTTTTGTTCATTTAATTTAACTTTATCAAGTTAGTTATTTCACTGAACTTGCTTTGCACCATTGGTCGATAATTCAACACATATAGAACTTGTTATTTTTATAAAAGAATTTCACTTCGTTCTTTTCCTACTACCGGAAGGTATTTTGCATAAAATAATGTATGGGTTAATGAACAATAGTTACGATTACGAATAAAATACTAAAATTTGTCCCAGAAATAATACATATACCTATACGGTAGGTAGTGTTCAACCGTCTTATTGACTTAAATCAGTAAGTATAGGCAATACTTGCCTATATTAAACTATTATATTATAATAATTGAACTAAACGATTTCTTATCCTGTATAATATGATATTTTCCACCCGTCAGCTCGACTCTCGAATGTGTGCAATTAATGAACATAATAAATCACATTGTCGATAATATGACAACATAAACCACTATGGGCGTAATATTTTTAGTCCTTCCAAAAGCCAGAAAACGTTTAATGTTTATTTTATACACGCGTCATTGATGTTTTATTTATCGTTCGGTAAACTCACGGTTTTCAAGAGCTTAGGTAAGGGTTTTAAATGTCCGAATCGTTAAATTTATTGATAAAAAAAAAAATCACCAAATTTTATCATTTTATTCTACCCATAAAACTGATTTTTATTAAACTTAAATTCTCGCGTAATAAAATAATATTTTTTTGGTGAAAATATTATTGTTATTTTATGTTTTATACACACGAAAAAACAGTAAAATTAAATAAATGTTTACCAATATAATATTGTAATACACCAGATATAATATAATATTTGTATTGGTCAGAAAATTAAATAGATATATAAGTGAGTTTTTATTACATTTTTAAGCTATGGTTCAATATTTATTTACTTTGTTTTATTCATTTATTCAACCATTCTTTTAAAAATACATTAGTAGTAACATAATTCATTAACAGCATAATAAAGAGTGGAATAGTAACGAATAAAACTAGTTATCGTTGACTAAAGTTTGTTGACTATCGTTGACTATCGTTTGACTAATCGTTCTAGTAATGGGGATATTTATTAAAAACAAACAGACAAGTAAAAGGACCGCTGAATGCCGGTTTTACCGGCAGGAACACGTAAGCAAAGTCGCTCTAATAAACGTGGTACGTCAATGTGCCCTCCAATTAATCCCCTGGTAAGATTCACACAATAACTGATGCAACGTTCGGATAAAGTCCCTAATCCGAGTATATCACTAATCATACCGTAGATGGTCAATATTATTATCGTATATAATCGTAATATTGGTATCGACTTTGTCAAAACGCAGCGAGGGAACCAGACGATAGCACCGTATTCAAGTAACGGCCAGAGCGTTACATAACGAGGAAAGACAAATCTAGGAATCGATTTGGGAACATGTTATCTACCGATTAAGAATTGGCATTTGACAGAAAAACCTTATTCTGTCTTAATCGATTTCCAATTTTAGTACAGTTCAACACTGCTCGTACGCCTGAAAAAATGATTATAAACGCTATTTTTAAACGGATATTACGCACTCATTTTGTTTTATGAAAACGAATGGAAATCTAAGTTTTTTTTATACAGACACATCATTTTAAAAGAATTAACCTGTGCAAGATATTTCCAGGGGAAAAAGGTTTACCCACGAAACCAGAAAATGATCAAAGTATCTATGACATATTTATTTTACACATTTCACATTTGTTTGTACATTACACCTATGTATGTACAATGTACATTGCACATCATAGAAACATGTTTAAACGATGTTTTTACGGAGGTTTTTTTTTTAAACCATTTATTTAAATATATACAAAATACTAAATGTCTTGCACTATTTTGTGTTAAATTAAATATAAAAATACAAAATACTCGATAGATATAACCGTCGCGGTATGCATACACACACTGAACATACACATCATAACATGAAGCGAACCAAAAAGTGGCGGTATGGATGATATATTGATTATTGAACCACAGTCCATTTTTAATACGTTTTCCGTTTTAAAATATTATTTATTTTGTATCAGGAGGTGGGTACTTGAATTATTGCTACTCGAAGTGTGTTTATAATTCAAAATCCACCAGAAACGTCCGCATTACGACCAATTTGGTCAGGTGATTATAGAGTACGGATAATTATTTTACTTATTTAATTAAATTTTGACTAATTATACATAATATATTTCTATATATATGTGTATATTTATAGGCACCTAGATAAACGTACAAGGCGAAACTTTTGTTATGCGTCAAATGATGTATGACCGGGTTCGATAATTAAATCCAATTTTTCGTTTCCACACAGATTTTTTCACCGTCCGCAATTGACCGGACAATACAAGTATATTATATTATATTATGTAGCGTATCTATCTTCAGCACACGTTCAATCGAAAATTTACATCGTGATGTGTACAAAATTCATTTTTCACGTTCGCGTTGTTTGAGACATTGTAGAATGAATAAATAAAACGGAAAAATAATAAATGTCTAGATATGGGCCGTATGTTCGAAACCCAGGAGGATTGTTTATTGTGTCTATTTTTGCCTATTTTTCATAAAACTGTTCACATTCCAAACACAAAAGTACGGGGAATAAATGGGGAATTCACTTGCCCCTCTTCTTCCCCGACCACGAATATAGGCAGGTATAATAATTGAAAACAACGTTCCGAGATACAAAAGCGCGAAATCCCAAAGGTACAGTTGCATAACCAGTGCAGGGAGGAATTATAAACTAGAAGCAAATATCAAATTTATGTTTTTTTAGAGCTATAATCTTTTCCTAGGTTTTTAATTTTCTGAAACCATAACAATTTATAATTGGTTTTCTTTTGTTGATTTTTGAGTTTTCATTGCTACACGGGACATAAACACTACCAATACTTTATCAGATTACAGAACTTCACGAAATAATTTATGATTATTTTCAGGATATAAACCAAATCACCTTTATTATTTTATATTTTAGAAACCACCTACAGTCCTACAATATTAAGCATGCGCACAGGGTGTGCCAAGTATACCAGTAAGCTGAAAACCCATGCAGTATGGAAAATTAATCAAGTCCATACATACCTACCGACAATCAGGATTGGCCACCAGGACACCGACAATATCCCGGAAGGTCACGAGACAGATGAATTTGACAAATTTGGTAAAATGAGGTGGAGTAAGTAAATAACAGGATTAAAAGTGATTATTTTGAAAAAAAAAAAAAATCTATATCAAATATCGGTTTATGTATCAGCCTACCCTTACTTTAAACATTTATCGACATTTTCAGGAGTTCACATCCTATATAACTTTTTTGTTGTTTCATTTTTGTTGATTTCTTTTGTTTTCATTTTAGGGTTACATAGGCAACAAAGAAAGAAACACGATTAATATAGTACATTACTACTCCGCTCAGAATCGCTTTTTCGTTTGTATTGATTTCCATTTGTATATTATTATAAAAACTAAACTACCTTTATTAACCTATACATACTTTTCCAACTACTCACCTGCAATATTGGTCTACGCGTGAGTATTTTCGACCTTTTTTGAATTTTATAATCCACCCCCCTCTTCTGTCGAAAATAAATCCTGGTTGCACCACTGCAAAGGTATACATATTTTATACCCAAATAATATATTATAATAATGTAATACTGTCCGATGCTCGTCTTTTGATGTTATAATAGACTACCGTCGACTTCCTAATAAATAACCTACCTAAGTAGTGTATGAATAATACATTTGTATTCATGACGCGAAATCAAATTTTCTTCGAATAGTATGTACAATTCAATAATGATATTATTGTACAACAGTGTTTGGAAGATATTGTGATTGATGAACAATAATGAATTTTAACGATGTACAAACGACGAGTTGTATTTATTGTTCGATTAATCTTTTCGGAACGACAACGGCGGCGAAATCAAAAACTCAACAGATATAGTGAATATCTGTATGCAACAGCGAATAAATAAACTGAAAACTTACTATTACCTCAAAATAATTTTTAATTAACGAATCGTTCACCTCTATGGACCGAAACTAAATGGACATATTGTTATCAATGTTTGATTTAAAGAAATAGAGGCCTTGTCCACTGCTTATTTTGGTGCATTTTTTCAATAAAAATTAGGACGAACATACTTCGCACGTGGGTATAGTTACTGTTATAGGTAGGAAGTTAAGAAAGTAGGATACTGACAGGAATTTAATGTACATCTGTAAGCAACGATTAACCATTCCTAACTAAAAACGATTCTAAATGAAGTTCAGTTAATAGTGTTGCTTTGTCAACAATATTTATATATACCATAATATAACTATGGTAAAATTTTTAAAGCAATATGCGTTTGTAGGACAACAATGATTACTTAAAAAAAAAATGTAAATAATAAAAACTTCATACTAACAAAAAAATTAATAAAACCGGTTGCCAACGACAAACTTATTTTTAACCTTTTAATCTTTTTTAATCTAAAGAACCAGGTTTTCCTCATTATTTCGAATATTAATGAGAATTTCAAAAAATAACATCCCTAAAGTAACCCTAGAGAACATTTCATTTCAGAAAAGGTGCTATACTTGATAATCGGAGTAATCTTTCTAATAGATAAAGCGTTTACATAAAAGAAAATTAAAACAAATAAACATGTTTGTCAAACCAATTAAATACATTCTTCGCTTAACTAAAAATCTAAAAATATAAAACAAGCAAACATTTAAAAAACAAATTTCTTCAAATGTTAATTGTTTTATATCATAATTGATAATCAGTAAGAACGAATAATCCAATTTCTCTTGTTTTTAAGAAAAACGCTCTAAGTTCTTATACGTTCAGCATAAAATATCTAATATATAATAATTAAATAAAAAAATATGTGTAATTCTGTTCAATAATAATTGCTTATTAAATAATTAGCGGTTTACCCACCTAAAATATCTTAAAAGAATACAATTTTTTTATTTTATATTTATATAAAATGAGAAAGGAGCCATAAAAATTTGGGGGCTTTTGCTCATGCACATGCGTAAATCAGGGTCTGATTATTATCATTTTTCAGTTTTTTCCACTTGATCTCGTGTAAGAATTATATTTTTAATTTGCTCTGAATTATGCATTGCAGCCCAACACTGTCCTTTATAAATAAGTTTACTCATAAAATATCTAACAAGCGTTTGACGGCGACACTGATACATTTTTTTTTTTTTATATAGATATATATATATTTATAATTAAATTAAAACAAACCATAACTTAAGCGGGGTCGTTGTTGGGGTAAATATGTTTTCCGTACACTCGACCCGGAACTCTGCAGGCGCTATATATATATACCGGTGTGAAACTCGCGAGGGTTATAAAAGTCGTTTCGAGAGAAATCGTGTTTGAAATTACTCAGGTATCTATACTGATATAGAACGCGACTTTAATGTATACACAGGCGACGCGTATCGTCTTACGCGGGATAGAAGTACACACTGTGGGACAATATTGTTTATCCGTTTGGAAAACTATTTTATACCGCGGGAGATATATACGTGGAATTAACAAACAACATATACATTATACACTTTATGTAGACACTATAACGGCATAAGTCGTCTGTATTAATAAGTTAAAATGATTATATTTTCTTAAAGATTACAAATCCGACAAATGTCGTTGCGGCAGCTTTTATAAATATATTAACTCGGGGCGGGGCTAAAAACCTTATGTGTGAGGAGCTTAAAGGACTAAAGCCCTCTCTTAAAACCGTCTGTAAAAAAAAAAAAACATTTAAATAAAATAAGGACGGGTTCTGGAACTTTGGAGCGGTTAGCCCTCACCCCCGACCGATTCCCAGAAACACGCCTAACTAATGTATATTTATGATACATACATATATATATATATATGCCAACAATATAATATAATAATTTAATTATACTTTAAAAATAACAAATTATTCAATTTTATAAAAACTATTTTTTTTTTTTAAATTCATAGCATATTGCCCAAATTACTCCGCACTTATAAAACTTTGAGATTCTGCACGCCAAGTGTCGAGAGATTTAAAGCTTTAAGTTTTACAATGACGTGGTATATTTATTTCCCCCGCGAAATACTTTCGAGGGCGGTGAAAATGCTCAAAAAGTTTCATCCGTCATATTTTTAAAGAGGACACCTAATATATTTTACTCGTACATTTGTAATTTGAACACAGACGGTACTCAGGCTTGAGCCAAGTATTCTTTTGATATTCTCAGACCTACTAAATGATGATAATTTTTTAAACAACCGTCGAAATTCGAAAAAAAACATGATTTTTTTCTATTGTAAGTTCACCGCTGCAATATTATAATTGTTTAAATTACCCTTGTATTCCGCTTTGCCGTGTAGGTACACTGACGTTTTTATGAATTTTGGATTACAGAGTCCTTTTAAACTAATTGGAAAAACAAAACTCGAAATTTTCATATCGGAGTGGTTCTGTACTTCTAATGGATATATTTTCTCTACCGTGCCAATTTACGCCTTGTTCATATAGTATATAATATATTACAAAAGTATTCTTTCTTGTTTATGACTATTCCTTCTATTGTTTATTTTGCCATTTTATACATTTTAATATAAAACCAGAAAGAAACACTGTAATGACCGCCTATACGTTTAGCATCTAAACATTTTCTAATTGAATAAATACAATAACTGATTGTGTATAATATGCTACGATCTATTTGATTTGAATGTCTTACGCTTTCAGACGAGAAATTAAAATTTAATTAACTCAATAAATAATTAAACGTTCAAAAATTCGTATAACTCATTTTTATATTTGTATAATAGCGTATAATAGCTGTTATTGTATATGTGACTGTACATTTTCTGTTTAGTTTATTTTTATGTAAATTGGAATTTATTTGTCCGTAATAAAATATTATTATTATTTATTATAAACCAACGACAAATACGCACGTATAGGAAAAAAATAATAAAGGTAGACAGGCAGAGTTTGAATGCAAACTACAGGGGTAACAAAATACAATATTATGTAGAATGCGTGTGCCGATGTATCGCAAATATAAAAATCAATGTTTATACAATGTTAAATGCGGTTCTATGGAAGGGTTGTAAACACGGAACGCGATAATAGCTGTCAAAATATCAATAAACTTAATATATGTAAACTGTCAAAATATCAAATACAGCACTAGGACGATATAAAAATTACGATAAGTTTTCACGCGAATATACAAAAAGTCAAGATTCCACATTTTAAAAAAAAGAATAATAATAACAATAAAAACTCCACAATAAACTGACAATTTTATTCAGGTTGTGTACATTAAATACGCACAAATTATGTTTTACGTACTTGTTACATAAGTTATAAAAAAAAAAAATCCTACGTAGAGTATACTAAATAGTCGTAAAAAATGATAATGATTATTTTTATTTATGTTTTTTTTTTTTTTTTTGTAAATGTCATACACCGGAATTATGCGGAATAATATCTATTCGTTATTGCTGTTACACGGACAGTAGAAATATTGTATTATTTCTCCTTTACTGACTGCGGCAGCGGCGATGCGGTATAAACCAAAACGAGATAAGGGAAATTACATTCTCGGGTCACAAAACGATGCTTATCACTGACATTATTTTTTATGTAGTGTATTGTCTGTGTGCGTATATGTTTTGTCGTAGTTTTACCGATGAATATATATATTATTATACTTAACTACATCATTTAGGACGAGTCGACTAGTTTTATTCATTACGACGACCCCGTCTATATTGTTAGCTGTACACTGTTGTAAACGGTCTCGGTGAGACGCACTGTCGTCGTCGTCGGTACGCGAGACATTTGTAACGTAAAAAAAAATGTAAATTATATTGAAACGAAAAAGACGACAGCAGCAGCAAAATATATCCTTGATAGGATGTTATTACATCGCGGCCATAGTTCACGGACGGCGCGGAAGCCGAGGAATTCGGAAACGAGCCGAAATATGCACTGTTGTAAAAGAGGCGAGCGAGATAGAACGGCTATACAGAACACGAAAACTCGGAAATAAATAAAATGCATCGCGAAACTTCCAATAAACGTTTAGCTTTTGTTTCCTTCAAGCAGCTGTATAGTGTTTTACACTACTACACTAATGTGTTTTATAAGGCATAATACCATACATATACGTTTGCCCTTACACTTAATTACCGTTTACAGTGTATACTGTATAACTTTTTATAAAACAACGTGTATTGCGATTTAATTGTAAAATTCGCGTACTTGTCATCCACAGAAATCGCTCTGATATAAAATACTATCGCGATGACTGTAAATACGAATTTCATAAAAATATGGCCACTATTAAATACCTACTCCTCGCACACTAAATACTTTTGCAAAGTATAATCCGAATATTTTAAACTGTATACGTTTGGTACTTGGGTATACCATGTGTTGTGTTTTATCGAGATAAATGAGAAATAAGTTATTCAAAAAAATAATTAAATCGTCTAGATTCATTTTTAGATTCTGAGTGAAACAAAGAATGTATTGATTTTATAAAGTTTATTTTTTGTTTTTATGTGAACACTTTTTCTACCAGAAAGCTTACTCCGATGTATTCAATGTAGAATCTTTTATGGAATGAAATTATCATTTTCTCTGTATTACCAAAGTAACTCTTAAATCATTAAAAACGTATACGCAGTAAAGGACGTTAATTTCCAACGCTTTTAAATAGTGATCTAATTTAGTGGATTAAAATGTAAAAAATAAAAACTGATTAGTCTATAACCACCGCAGTGTCGTAATGAATTCATAAAAAAAATTTTAAAATCGAGCTAGTAGTTCCGGAGATTACCCACTATATACAAACAAATTTTACCTCTTTATAATAATATTAACTAATTATAGACATAAAAGTATAGATAACTAAGTTATTCACTTGCATCAACCATACAACCTTTTTGTTATCCATACCGAATCCGGTACACTTTAACTAACTATAACTTTTAGTTTATAATTGGTTATGAACAAAACTATATTTTTCATTTTTATCTAGATATCTGGTTTTTATCTTTATCTAGATAAATATTCAAGCAATTATTTCTTATCTTTACCAATGTATTTTAAAATGTATCTTTATACAACACATACGTTTACGTATCTTTATTCATATGAAGTAGTATTCTTTTATCGGCCACAATAAATATTTTAAAATCGCCTAAATGATTGTCGTTTCCTGTACAAATCAAAAATCAAAAATAATAAAAAAAAAAACTAACACAGTCCAAACGCGTGAAAAAATATGTTTAGCTTTACATCACGTCTTAATAATAAAATATGCTACGCAAATAAATTATTGTCAAGTTTAATATTCAAACTCGATCGAATTTATTTTGGCTACTACGACGTGCGTTTTACTTGACGTCCGTGGACCAACGGAAATGGGTCAAAATGTCAAAAAACGAAAACAAATAACAAAACCGTTCGTATTTGTTATTATTAAAATAATTATTATTCGAAACCGACGAAAACCCGCGCCCGTAATTTAATTGAAAATATTAATGTTATCCGTGTTATTATGCGAATGTCGAAGGCATGCGAGGTACTGCACGGACGACGAGGGAAACATTTTTTTTTCATAAAATGTCGCAAAAATCGTTTACACGCGGCGATAACAACGAAATAATACGACGAAAATGATATTTTTCACTCGTGATGGTATTATGAATAATACAAACGATAATGAAACCGAAATGGTGCGCTCATCGCTAATCCGTCATCGTGAGTGTTGACTGAACGGTACGTCAGAAATAATAATATTATTGTATTATGTACAACCGTATAGCAGCCGATGATTTAATCCACTGGAAAAGTAAAACGTTATTATGACGGGAATGCGAGAACACAACAACCGTTGTTATTGTTATTAGGCACAAAACGATGAAAACGATATTGGGGCTTTTGTAATATTATTGTATGTTTTAAAAATAATATATATGTCTTGACGTCGTACGAATTATTTGATACTCGTTGCGAAATTAATAGTACAATAGTTTTTCAACGGTTTCACTATGTGTATCGTTTTAGATTCGAAGCGAGAAATTTATTGGTATTGCAATGGTGTTTTTTTTTTTTTTTTTTTTGATATTTATCAGAGAACAATTTTTCTTCAGAAATTTGACTCCAATTTTCAAGTGTAGCACATTTTCTGAAAGGAAATCTGATTGGGTTGGTACTTTAAGGAAGTCGTTATTTGAAAATCTCATTAGAATTCGAAATAATTAAAAAAAACCTAGTTCTTTAGGTTAAAAAAGATAGAAAGATTCAAAATAAGATTGTCATTGGCAACCGTTTTTATTTATTTTTGTTTATTATTAAGTTTAATTAATTTAAACTTTTGTTTGAACAATTACTATTGTCATGGAAACGCACATTGTTCTAATCACTTTACCATTATTTATATGATATATTATTATATTATATTGTTGACAAAGTAATATTATCAACTGAACTCCGCTCAGAATCGCTTTTCGTTAGCATTGGTTTATCGTTGCTTACATTCATATCTATTAAATTCTCGTCTGTACCCTACCTTCCCAACTTTCCACCTACAACAATAGTTGCACCCACATGAATAGTATGCCCGTGCTTTTTTTAATAGTTAGGAAAATATGTAAGAAAAACGGAAAAATGTACGCACCAGCGGTTTCTGTAATTTGTTAACAATTAGTTTAGGAAAAACCGTAGAAACAAGACTTTTTCACCGAATACCGATGTATTAGCTTTTTCTAAACGCTGTAAAATTTATCAATTTTTTTTATTTAGCTTTATGCGAGTACAATTATTTTAGCCCAGCTAAAATGCCCGTATATTTAATATGAAATTCATCATAAGTTGTGTGTTTTTTTTTATAAACTCATAAAAATACGCATAGAAATAGCTGTACAAGCAAAAGTATAGATTGTATAAAATTAGAGTCTGATGGGGATGCCTGCCCGATAGAACATTTTCATAGTTTTAACGGTTGACCTCGTATATATATTTATTTATTATATTACATACGGTCGAGCTTTTTACATCATGTATTTTTTTTTCTTGCGTACCATATGTTTTTCTATTATTCTTATTCACATCGTTTCGTGGTTTTTTTAATGTCATTTCTCCGGACTCGACATCATATTGATATTTATTTTATAAAAACGGTCAGAGGTCCTTAAGCTGCAGTAGTTGTATACACCGTAATATTAAGTTCAACATTTAGTTTTAACTCGTAATACTGTGTCAACAGAAATAATTGATATCAAAAAAAAAAAATTCAATTGATATACTTATGGACATGTGCCTACATTGCTGACTGAGTAGTCACTAGTAGGGGGTGGGGTAGTCAGGCGGAAAAGGAAGACTTATCCTTCTAAAAACTTTAACCAAATAAATCTAAGTCAATAAAACTTATTTAAGCAAGAAGACGGGTCATTGATCAAAGCAAAATTCGTTATCAAACTTCAAACGCAAAAAAAATTGCAGTTTTTCTTTTACCAATAAAAACAACTTAATAAGATGAACCTTGTATTAAATTGTCGAAATTTTAACGGTATGTAAACCGCATATATAAAAAAATAATCAAAGGTTAACCTTTATATTTGAATAAAATTACTCAAAAACGGCCAAAATATTTTTTTAAATTAAACCACGTCTTGAAAATGCTAATGCTTGTAAAATGCTAATACTTGGGAAGCATATAATATGTCAAGTCTCCACGGTTTATTTCTTACTGTAGAATATAAACAAAAAAAAATATACAGATTCTTAGATTTTAGATTTTAAAAATGACTTAATTAAAAATAATAACTTTACATTACATCATAACTAGAAAAAAATAGGATTACATCATAACAGTTATAACTCAAAGATTTAATATTATAACTAAGATCGCGTGAACAAACAGGGGGGAAAAAACCACACACGATAATATCGTAGATAGTAAAACTCGCAGAGTGTAGTCAGTCGACTACTCCTGAGTTTGCGCATGGGATAAAAGCAAAGGGGAAGATTTTATAAGTAATTGTCCGTCCGCGTGTGTTTATTAGGTTTTCAAAAAGTTTCATTGGGGTTCGTGGATAGTGCGAATTCAGCGAACAGCGTGCAGGTTGTTTGTATATTATATAGAGGCTAATTCTTCTTAAAACATTTGCATAGATATAATAATATTATTACGATGTCGAGGTCTTTGCGGAAAGATAAATTACGTCTGATATATACAGCCTATGGACGCCATCTCTGCGATTAGGTAGATATTATACATATTATTATAATAATATAGGTGTAGTCCCGGCGATTACGCTTTATAATCGTCAGAACTTGGAAAACGCTCCGCGGTCCCATAAAAAGACTCCAAAAACACCAAAGACCCCCTAGAAGACGCGTCTCGTTGAGAAACGTGCGCGTAAGCTCGTTTGTCACGCCAGCTCAACAAACGCCACACAATTCCTACGGCTTTTGTCGCCAGACGGCGTCTGACACAACGTTGTCAGTAAAAATATAATCTGCGATCGTCCATTCGACTGATTGAATAAACCTTTTTAACGGCGCTGTGGACGGGAAAAAAACCTATTTTTTTTTTTTTTTGCATCCCCACACAAATGCTTACCTGTATACCGTTATTATCTTCTTAATAATCCGCACGTACACCGTCTATTACACTACGGCAATATTAAACATTTTAGCGATAAAACGCGGTCGAAGATTTGACATAAGGTTCATTATCATAATAGTGATGGATAAATACAAAACAAAAACAGAAACGAACGTAATATATATATAAAAATTTGAACATTTATTAGAGTTAATTAGAAAACATTTATTATTAATTAATTTAATTGTGACGGGCAAGAAAATAACTTTTGAAAAATAAATTAATGGGCAACAGCTGTTGAGAGGGGTGGTTGGTGAAAACGGAAAGACAAATTCTCATTTTTTAAATTACATTTTCGTTTAATACGACAAAACCATGGTAGCCAAATATATTTTTATTCGTATTTTATTAAAAAATAATTTACAATAATTTATTGTTTATAATATTTACGAATTGGACTGAAATTTCAAACGCCAAACGCTTTAAATACATATATTATATGTAAAAAAAACTTTATAGATTATCGATATTTATTTATTTCTATTAGAACAACTTATAAGATCTTATAACGAATTATCAAATATTTATGCGATGTCAAACATTTTTTATCCACAAAAATCGAGGGACAAAAACACCTAACAAAAAAAATATAAAAAAGCTGATGTAAAAAAGAAAATATCAATATAATATTATAATATAAGTTTGTATTTGATACATTGTTTTAATACATCTTATGCAGTAGATCTTTTTTATAAACCTGAGTTTAGACAATATAGTATACTGCAGTATAGCGTTTCGAATTAATTTAACACGAAATTGTGCATCTATAATTTAAATTCAACTACACTGTTATTTTCATTAACTGAAAAATAATTTTGAAACGTTGAATTATTGATGAAGACAATTTTAAAGTTAGGCGTAAGTACAATATAATTATTATTAATTTATTTGTATACTCACTTGTTATGTTTAAATTAAAAATTGATAAACAGACCTAATGGAACTATTTATTTATTTTTTATTTTTGATGTAAAAACGTGCTTTTGGAATAATTTGCATTTATTGCTTTGCAAAGACAAACGGCATATTTTTTAGATAGGTACTTATACAAATCGACGAAAACCTATAATAGCCATTTTCACCGGATTTGATATACTTATAGAATAATATTTGGAAATGTTTCCGGCTTTGAAGATTAAAAATTAGAGTTTCAACACTCTTTAAAAATTCAAATATTTCGGAACAATAATAATTGAGCATTACGTAATAGCCAGTGTGGTTGCAGCTAGAATTCAAACAGATAAAAAATACTACTATTGTCTATTATTATTTATTTTTATGTCTATAAAAGATATTAGGACCTCAAAGTATGTAGTGAATTAAAAAAGCAATTATAACTCTGATTATATTATTTTGATTCACCGGGTAATGTTGTACAGTGCGAAAACATGGTCACTGAGAAAATAAAACGAGAGAAAAATGTTTAATATTTGAAAGGAAAATCTTCAAGACAGTTAAGGATTGTACCGGTGGGAAATGGAGAAGAAGAAAAAATACAGACTTACAGATTTTATTCCAGAATATAAATATAAATGATGCAATAAGAAAGCAAATACTTCAGTGGGCTTACATGGAAAAAATAATAAAAGCATTGATGGAACAAAATCCGTGCAGAAGAATACCACTTTGAAGACCCAAAACAAGATGGGAAAACTTAATTAAAAAGAATGTGGAGTGATTAGGCGGAAGATCGAATTGGAAAGAAATAACAATGCATAGAGATCGATGGAGCCGATGAGGATTGGGTGCGAAATGGGACGGTTCTGTGAGGTCTTATAACGAAGAAGAGAAGATAAAATAATATTATATTGTTACATTTCCGTACATCTACATCGGTTGTGACTTCATACAATCATACAAAAATATTATAAAATACCAAATTGTCGATATTATATAAGGTGTAATTTTAATTTTAAAAAAAAAATACGAACACATGGATAGGCCACTGTTGTTGGTGAGAAGTTGGGAAGGTAGTAGAGGGGAAATTTAATGTATATCTGTATGCAATGATTGACTATTGCTAACGAAATTACGATTCTGAGCGGAGTTTGCTTAATAGTGTTGCTTTGTCAACAATATATATGTAATATTATGGTAAAATAATTGCATATGCATTATATATTTTCTTTAATAATACTTGTTTAATACTGTAGCTAGGTTTTCCTGTGTTTTTTCCCATTTATGAGGAAAACTCATCGAAAAATCAAAAAATGACCTCCTTAAAGTACCATTCTAGTCGGGTTTTTTTTCAGAAAAAGTGTTATCATTGTAAATCGGAGCAAAATTGCTGGTAGAAAATTTAGTGTATTTCAGTGTACACCTTTAATACTTATAAATTCAAAATGAGATTTCATATCGTATTTTAAACGAAATGCTGTACCTATTTCATAGTGACGATGCTCAAAATAAGTGGCGTGCGAACAAATGGCATTTAAGAGTAGGCACAAATAATTAACACTGTTACAATATTTTATTCGAATCGAATCGGATCGATTATAATATTTTATTTGAATTGAACTTGGAAGTTTTATAAATAATTCACGAGCTCGTTGTGTACACAGCGAGAAATAGAATATAATAATATAGACGGGTAGGTACGTCATTTTTGGCTTTGGTTCGTCCTTTAATATTTTAAATCACGATTTTTCAATCCCCTCGGCATGAAAGAAAGAAAAAATAACGATAACCCAGTGACTGAATTGGATTCGAATCCGCGTTTTGACAGTTGGCCATTTGTCAACTCGTTTCAATCCAAACATTGACAAACGCGACGGTGCGCGACAACGGCGGCGGTGGCGGAGTAACGGTGTTTTACGTCATAATATTATATTATGTTTAACAGCACAATATACGCCGTCACTCGTCGTATACACGATAATATACAGGGTGTTTCAATCGAACGGTAACGTGAAATATTTCGGTTCGGTCTGTGCTCGAATTGGAATTTGGAAGGGAGGTTTTCTGTGTGATCAACATGGTGGTAGGTACCTAACACACACACACACACACACAAATTTAGAACGTACATTTATGGAATTAATGATATACTTCAGTTTTCGAAAACGTAAACGCTTATTTTCGCAGGGGCTTCGTATAATTCTGTTAGTATTTTTCGCTTTTCCAAACGAAATTGCAGACTAATAGTGTGATTCAAAAAACGTAACGACTTTAAAAGTGACAGAATTAGACTATCGTTTTACCAGTAGGTAGAATACATAAGTATAAGGACAAAATCATATACAATATTAAATATTGAACGCTATAAGAATAACGCGCTTTGTTGAACAATTTTTATTCGAATTTAAACGGATACGCCTATATGTATCTATGGTAATTTGTGAGGTATCCGTTAGAACTGTTCGAATCTGTTGTTCAATACAGACGTTTCCGTTTAATAAAACGTGAGTTTTGCCGCGTAAGCTCGCCCTTTAAAGGTTTTCATTTTGAAAACTCTCGTTTCATACCCCTCGCTCCCACCCCTAAATGTTCCAAAATAAACCCCGCGTTTCGTATGGCATAAACAAAAATATATATTATATATAAATATTATTATATTAAATATTATAAATATTCGAACGTCAAAATAACAGCGAGGTGGAGAAACGAAAACTTCAAATGGTCCTGATAAAAATGAAAAAAAAAATAGACAAGACACAGGACTCTCGTCCTCTAATAATAATACCGTTTATTATATTATTATTGTCGAGCGCGGTACGCGCTACTGATGTCGCCTGTCACGCTAATAAACGTTACAAAGGACGGCGTTCGCAGCATCCTTTGTCATTTCGGGTTTCTTCCCGGGCGACATTTGAACGTGACTATTGTTATTATTATTATTATTATTATTAAATTACGAATTCTCGTGCATACGTATTATAATATTATACGATAATATAGCGGCGTAGTGTACGGTTACTTCTATCATTTGTAAATAACTGCGCGGTCACCACGGCAAGAAAGGTCAGGCCATTTAAAACCGGCGCGTCGTCGTCGTCGCTGTCTGATCGATACGTTATTTGCGTACGGACGTCCGGTTTTCCGAAAAAAAAAATAAACAGTTGTCCTAGGATAATGGGGACGGGTGCAACCACTATTATGGATGGGAAGTTGAGAATAGTCCTACCTATAAACGGAAATTTAACATACATCTCTACGATACGATTAACCGTTGTTAACGAAAAAACGATTCTGAGTGGAGTTCGGTTGATAGGAAAATTGCCTGTAGAAATGTTGTTTACAGCGAAAAAAAAAAACTTTAAACATCATTGTAAAACCAATACATTCCTCGTTCCACTCAGAATCTAAAATTATCATTTTTCGCGACATTACCACTATTATACAATTGCAATTTCGCCGTTACACCTATACCGGCGCGGTATATTGTTGTTATATATTATTTTAATACCATTTGACCATTTGACCAAATTCGCGATGACCGCAAGACGCACGGCGGCGTGCCGTGTGTGCGTGTCATCATATACTATAGCCAGCGACGGGGATTAAAAATAGAACGCATTGAGTTAATCTTGGAATCGCCTCCTGTCTATTTCTAGGTTAAGTGGCGTATATATAAAAAAGCGATATAGCTACCGCCGCCGCCGAGACGGCGTATATAATACGGGGCGATGCCAAGCGGTCTTTTTGAATTCGTTATAACGTTGTGTAATATATTTTTACGCGCGATACGTTTACACACAGTTGTAGGCACGGTGAAAAATTATAATACAGAGACGATCGCGGTGTTTTATATTTTTTTTTTTGATACCCACTGAAATATTTTTTCCGCTTCGCCCGTTATCGAGGATTTCTCCGTTTTGTTTGTCGGCTATCACATTAGCGTCATCTATATAGTAGCGGAGACGCAGGCCGGGGGCGCGGAGAAGATGCGCGTACCGAACGAAAACGCGACGCTCTGTGATCATACCCGTCTCTGTTTTATCACGTTGCACAGGCACATAATATTATCATTTAGGTACATGCGAGATCGTGGGGTACCGCGGAGACTCGTAAAACGTCTTTGGACCCGCGGAAGGCCGGTTCAATTGTTGGCATTTTTTTATTTTTATAATTTCGTACTGTATGTATACTTTTTCTCCGTTGATTTTTAGTTGAAATCGCCTTAGCGGGTATACGTTCCAACACAATATTAGGTTATACTGAAAATTAAAATATCTCTAGTCGTTTAAAATGCTGGGGTTTATCCAGAAAATTTTCACCGAATTTAAATTATCCTCGTTCCTCTTTTATAACCCTCGTTCGCCCGTCAGTCCGTCCGCTGTTAGAATACATCCGTTGTTCCGTCATCTGGAAATTATGTACTAGTATTAGTTTTAAAACGGTTCAGCGTAAATTTTTTTAAGGATTCGCCTCGTATACTCTTGAAATCGACCGTCCTCCACACGGTTAGTTTCCTGCCCAACGTCGCCGAGCTGCTGTTCTAATCATTCGATCCAAGCTCCTTGTGTATGAAGTTCGTTCCCCTTCACTAATAACCATAATCGATTTTAACGTTCCTTACGGTCTTACGAAATCCAATTTGCCTTTCTTCATTTCTATCTCATCGTCTAACTATCAACGAAACACTTCTCGGTACCGTATTATTTGACCGACAAATAAGGATCCCCGCACTTCTTTATTTAGTCCGTTGATTGTTTTATAATTTAGTTACATATTTATTATGCGTTGTCGCGTTATTTTTTTTCCCGCGTTTTTCGGGCCCGAAGCCCGTAATATGTAATAACACTATAATCACGTTGTGTACGAACCGCGAACCGTTCGGGACGCCCGCATTTATAGGTCAGGCCATTGAGTATGTATAATTTAGCCGTTTGGCCGCGGTAGTCAGGTATCCGCCGTCGTTTCGTTTATGACAAATGTTCCGAATTTAATCCGCTCCAAGTGGCGACGCCCTGCTCTAGGGTCCCTGCTCGTGCCCCTTGGCACCGAAGAGGAGACGTGCCTCTACCCGCGCGAGAGGGTAGGGGCCGCAGAAAGAAATCTTCAGGTGTCGGTACGCCGCCGCCGCCGCCTACGGGTGGCCGCCGTCGCCGTCGTTTTCTGTTATACATCGGCGATAACCTTTCAACAGATACGCTAATGGACGGTAAACGCCAAGATCCGACGCGCCCGCGGGACCGTTGCCAAAGTTTCTGTCGGACCGCCACTACCGCCGTACGTACGATATTATTATAAATTATTATAGTGTTATCCGCGCGCCGTATCGCAATAATAATAATAATAATACATGCGTACACGCGGGCGTTATGGAATTTTATTTATACTCGGGCGCGCGTGTGCAATGTATAATTGTATTATACGCGCGCGTAAAGTACAAGTGTACGCGATTCAATTGTGCATACCTCGACTCCCGGCAGTGTCGGCTGGACGGCGGCGGATCTGTCGCGGATGATCGGTCGGACACCGAAACATTAGGTTCGTTCCGGCGCGCGTTCAAAACCGCCGCACAACTGGCGGCCGCGTTTTTCCGTTCCGACACGCCGAAAACGCAAACGCGAAACGCGACGATCCGCTGATACGGATGGGCATTAGTCAGAGATCGTGTTATCATTTGCACGTTGTTATTTGTTTACGCTATCGATTGTTTGCGTTCGAATGCGCAACCGTTTCGATTAAATTTTACATCCTGTGTGCGGCGAAGAAGCTTATGGTTTTACAGAGACGTTTATTTTCATTTTTTCTGTGGACAACTTTTCTGCCAGAGGACTTGCTCCGATTTTTACGTGTAGCGCTTTTTCTGAAAGGAAATCGGTGTGGGGAGATACCTTAAAGAGGCCATTTGTCGATTATCTCAAGAGTTTTCTCGTCAAATGCGAAAAACCGAAGAAAAAAAAAAAAACGGTAAAATGTACGAAATATATTTGTATAATATTACGATTTTTTTTTTTTTTCTGTGTACAACTTTTCTATCAGCAGATTGCTCCGATTTATAATTATAGCAATTTTTCTGTAGGGAAATTTCACTGTGGAAACTTTAAAGAGGTCGTTTATCGATTTTCTAAGGTGTTTTCTCAACAAATATAAAAAACTAGGAAAAAACGTTAGAAGTCCAGGAAAAACGTAAGAAAACCGGGGAAGTCGGTACAACGTTAAACAAATATTATTAAAAAAAATATATAAAACCAGTTTTATTATTTTATAATATGGCATATATAAATTGTTAACAAAGCATCACTATCAACTGAACTCCGCTTAGAATCGTTTTTTCGTAAGCGATGGTTTATCGTTGCTTACGGTAAAATTGAACGATGGATCCGGCGAAAATTTCGGAACAATAATTATTATGACGCGTTTTGGAATGTAATATAATATTTTCGTTTTGCCCCAGTGTATTATGCGTGGATGTAGAATATAATACACGCATACTCGAATTAATGAAGCCAGTGTAAGCCCGGAGTTTCCGATATTATGGAGGCCGATGGAAATTGTCTTCAGAAAAAACATACACCCGTGAACAGCGCAAAACTCCGCAACTATTAAGGTCGAATTTTCCCTCGTTTGTTCGTATTACTGCGGTCTTTTACAGAAACGTTCTTTATCAACGCAATAAAAAACCCCGACAATTACGGTAACATAGCACGACAATTTAAAAACTAAACAATTTCGCACGATCGACCCGCCGATACCCCGGCCGGGAGGTAATTAAACGCAATAGTTATTAACGCCGTAGTTGAATCAGTCTTCGGGTTCCCGAAGATATCTGCGGCCGGACGGGGAGGGCGCTCCGGGGCGACGGTAACGACCACGGCTATGTTTTCGGGACCGGAGCGGACGGACGACGGTTTTTTTTTTTTTTTTTTTTAGCGCATTGCGTAGGGACCGCCGAAATACGGTCTTGTCGTATTCGCGCGCGCGCCGACGCCGCCGCCGACCGCGTGCGATCGCAACAACCGCTCGCGAACCCCCGCCGTATTGATCAACGCGTGGTTCGCAGTCGCACCGGTTAGGAGTCGACTTTCAGGAGGGAAAGGCACTGCACGGCAAAGGCGCGACCAGGATTTATTTTCACGGGGGAGAGGGAGGGGGGTTTCAAAAAGACGAAACTGCTCGTGCGTGCAGGTCGCTGTTGCGGACGGGAAACTATATAAGACCAGGACTCGGGACTTTATGCACTTAAAATCCACAAAAAAGCGATCGAAAATGTCAAGAAAGCCTTGAAAACGTACTTAAAAGAAAAACCAAAAAATGGTAGTATGTTTTTAATGGTCCTTCCTCTGGTGGTTCTATAATTTATACTTTTTTTCCACGTGTTGTCAAGATAACCGAAAAATCAACAATCGAAAACCAATGCGTCGTAATTTATTGATAATTGTTTTAATTTGTTTGGATAATCTATTGGGAATTCAGTATTTAAATGTACGACGTGAAAAATTTCAAGTATTTTTATTAATAAAAAAAAATGTGTTTTTGTGGTAAAAAACATCTTAGTAAAAATATTAATATTAGCTTCTTCAACGTAAGTCAAAATAAAAAGTTGTATGCACTTAACAAACATTTGGAACCTATTTTTATTTGATCTATGCAAGAGATATTATAGAGGATTCGTTAAAAAATCTCAAATTACAGGAGTGGTTACAATATGCATTGTTAGGTCATTTTTTTTTTTTTGATTTTCCTTGTAGTTTTCATTGTACTTGGCCGCAGTGATGACCCCAAGAATTATAAATGAAAGGGAATATAGCAAATATTAATCATAAACAAACTGTGGAATCCTTTTCTGTTATGACTAACCCGACAATGCGAATTTAAAATCCGATTAAAAAAAAGCCAATATGTATGCAATAAATCAAGCTTTATTCCTTGTAACTTGGCTAAAATATATACATTAAAGATAAAATTACTAAACAAACACACATGGCTTTTGTATTTTTAAGCCAATGGAGAGGATGGATTTAACCCCTAACCTTCTTCTCTGTACACAACACTCGGGAAAAAAAACGTATAGGAAAAACGAGCATATGTACGACATAAAAGTTTCATTATTTACGTTTTTTTTTTTTTTCAATTCAGTTTAAAAAAAAAAAACGTAGTGATCAGAAATATTCACAGAATACTTATATTATACTTTTTTAAGATGTGGAAAAACTTTCAAAACGTCCTGGCGAGTTTTTAGTTGTTTATAAGCATTTAACGTTGTTTATATTCTCAAGTTTTTATTCGGTTTTATGTGGATACAATTTTTTTCACAAAGCAGAAATGTTTGAAATTGTATAAGTCAATATAAGTTGTGCGTAATTTAGTCGTTTTCATTATTAACGTTTTAAGGTCCAATTTTGACGAAAATTATAAAAATCACGGCACCGTAAAACATGTTTAACCAAACTTCGCTCAGATTCGTATTTTGTTAGCGATGATTCATCGTTATGTACATCCATTAATATACATATATCATATATATATATATATATATGTATATGTATATATGTATTATGGTACAGATATAAACTAAAAAACTTCATAATCCTACCTTTCTCACTTTTAACCCATCAGCAGCGTCACCTCTATTTTTCATTTTTTTTTTTTTGTGAAAAACCAAGATTAACGCGAATCTAGATGATATTTTATTGCATTTTAAATACCATGCTGTACCCTGTTTGACGTTCGTTTCGGTATTATTATTATTTATTTTTTTTCTTTTAACTAATAATTAGTAGGATGTAATTTTTTTTTTTATTTAATTTTTACCCAACGATGCGTTCATGTGCACGTTTTTAATTTAACACTTTTCGAATGTAAATCATTTTTTATACAACTATATTATAATTACAGGGATATTTTTTGACAGAATCGCATTTTCTTTATACATATTTTCGGCGATACTAATACAGTCGCACAGTCGTTTCAATTAAACTTCTACTTTTAACTGTATATACTTAATTTAATATTCAGCATTAAGTGCCAAATGTAGTTTCTTTTCATGGACAATATTATAAAAATATCACATTTTGTAGACATCATACCTGAAAATAAATTATCATTGCGTTTTTATTTCCACGGAAAAATAATAATACACGTCAAATTTGTTGCTAATAATTATTACTATTAATTATTTCTATAAATACTGTTTATTTAATAATTACAATGATACTGTAATACTATTACAAAGAACGAATCGTTCTGTCGGACGAACAAATTAATATCATAACATTTTTATTCAGTTGCAATAAATTATTTAAACGAGTCAAACGATAAATATAGCGTTTATAAAAATATTTTCAGAAACTAGTATTAATATTATTTATAAGACGTTAAAATGATTTGGGAAATATTTAAGACAAAAATGTAAGTAGAGAAAATAATGATTTATACACTAAAAATTAAAAAAAAAATAAAATAAGGAAAAGCCTAACTGCAATAATTACAATATTATTCTTAAATGACTTGATAAGTTCACTCTTTCCCTGTTGATAAGAAAAAAAATCCATATCTAGATGTACCGACTTTGAAACAATTCTCGTTCAAACTCCAAATCTGATACTGTACCAAGAAATTTAGTGTCCTCACTCCTAAGTGCCTATACCTAAAACCTAAAACCATGAGTTGAAAACCCATTTTGGGACAACTGGGACTAAACAAAGGTAGCGATAAAAGACAAAAGTCGCATCGGGTAAATCACATTTTGAAGGTGAAAAGTCGATAATGTTGTCTATCATGATCCATGGTCATTAATTCGCTGGTATTAAGTTCGTACCCATACTAAATACAAATTTCAATAATTTTCCGGAGAGAAGTAATAGGTATTATTTTGCTCTTTTTGATATTATCCAAGGTATGTAAGGCCGTAATATTACCCATCGTTGAATAAATTTGTTAAGGACTCGTACAAGTCAACAAATTTGGACTAACCATAATGGCAATAGTACGCACAATTGTATTAATTATTACATGCGATTAAGAGAAAAGATAAGAAGCCAAATAAAGTTTTCTTGGCCCGAATCCAAACCATACAATTTATTTACAATACCTACGTGTATTTTATGAAAGCCACAACCGTAGTTGCGGTTATCTACTACGGTTATCTACATGTATAATATATATGTAATGATAAATGGAATAATGTTCGTTAATATTAATATTTGGTAAATTCGTTGACAAAAATCCGTGAAGTAATTCAACAATAGACCCGTTTCTCTGTGTTTTGTTTATTGTAACAGATTATTTGTATCGATAAACAATAATAGTTACCTATGAAGTTCGGAATATCGTACTCGCAAATAATATTTATAAATTCATTTTAACTAATAATGAACCAAACATATTAATTGTAATAGAGAATCACATTTTAGATGTTTTTTATTATTATTATTATTATTATTATTTCAAATAAAGACAAAAATGAAACCTTTAGTAAATTGCACCCACTTTTTGTATCGTTATTTGCTTCGTGTTATTTACACTAAAGATTAATTAGCGAAACGTGTATTAAATATATGTAGGTATGTACTTAAAATTCCACTAAAATATTATTCATTTATACAGTTTCGAACTTGATACCCGAATACTAAAATTTCTGTCGGTAAGTTTGTATATTATATTATATATAGACGGTAAGGAAAAGCCAATTAATTATATAAGGATATACATACAGGATAACTTATTGTTCGTACAAGTTTCTAATTTTGTTGCGTCTCGAGACCTAATATAATATTTCTTGTGGCCGCAAAATCTATCTCTGTGTTCTATGATATTAGTATAATATAATATATAACAGGTAACAACAATATGGCGCTTAAATGTTTTGCATTATACCGTAGAGGAATAAATTTAAAGCAAGAATAATAGTTAAATCTCGTATCTAATATAACGTACAGTGATGAGTATTTAGGAGAGGTGTCCCGGAGTCCTGGGGGTTAACATCCTCTTACAATTCTCACGAACATGTAGCGGAAGTGACACAAAACATGATTTTATGACTATTTCATGATGATATCTGTGCAGTGAGAATACTTTCAGGACACCGCCAGTCTCCACCCAATAGTTTTTGTACAATGTAAATTATTTTTAGATTCTGAGCGAAGTTTAGAATGTATCGATTGTACACGTACTGTGGTGTATGCGGTTTTATTTTTGTGACTGTAAACACATTTTAAAAATTCTGCTCCAATCAAATATTTTACGGTAACATTTTAGTAGCATTTTCTAGTAGCTAAAATACGTCCGGTAAAAAAAAAAAATAACATAAAATGCAAATATTTAGAAATAAAAATTATGAGCAATACCCTTTACATATGTATTGATATTTGTAGTTTCGTGATTTTCTACTGTATTTTTAAGACGTTGATCTATGTTTTTAAATTTTCGTAAGGTTATTTTCACCTAAAATAATTTTTATCTATTTTCGCTTCTTGGAACCCTTGTTTCTGCTTCAATAAAAAATATAAATTTCCAAATAGCCGTATGATGACATCCCGACAATGCGTTTAAAGCACGGTGCCAACCTTCAACAGCATTGTTTGTTCGTGGCTAATCATTAGTTGATTATTATAAAAATTCCACATGTCTATTGAAAATAATGGTTAGATTCGTTTATTCGTGGTTTTTCCGCCCGTTTTCGTGATGTTTATAAAAAAAAAAGGTGGACTATCCGCATATTACATTTTATAATATTCTGTATTATTATAGATTATTATTCACTTTTACCTTTTTGAAAATTATGAAACTAAAAATGGCAATACATATTTAACGTCGCTCTTAATTTTAATTTCTATATATTTGTATTTTTTCAAATTTTTTTACGGGTTTTATTTGAACCGGATCAATTGTCGCTGGATATTATTCACCGGACCGAATGACGGGTCACCAAAATACGACTGATAATACTCAGCAGTTCGGAATCTATTTTCATTAACAATGGTTTATTGTTGCGGACAGATGTAAATTAAATTACCCTACATAATATATACTCGTTTCCAACTTCCCTCCTAAAACGGTGGCATACCCGTGAACAGTATCAACTTTTTATTGTTATTTTTTTTTTTATTACACAATTTACGCGACCTATCCAACGGGAGTTTATAAAAAAAAAAAAAAAAATCCGTAATCAATATAACGAAATATATTATAATATAATTTTGTATTGTCGTTTCGCGTTTGTTTAAAGTACCTAATGTTTGTATGTTTACACGCGTCGTTGTCGCCGTGCGTTTTTATATCATTATAATATTATATACCTATGCTATTATTCATTATTACGGCATTGTCGGGAGTTCATTTTAATATATTATTAATACGACTACACACGAAAACCGCGCATCGCTCATTATTCCATACCTACTCGTTTATCCATTAATTTGCCCGGACAATTGTTATCGCTGTTATTTCGACTATGCACCGTGCACGGTGTAATGACGAGGTTATTAAAAAAAATGTATACACCAATTATATCATAACTTGATTTTAATAACTCTGAATTATTTAATATTATGTCTCTACAAGCTCGAATGTAGATAAATAATTATTTTAATGCTTTGAAAACGCCACACGATAATATTATCATCGCAAACGACCGCGCGTCGCACCTCGCACTATAAGCAGAAACAGTAATTAGTAAAACATTAACGAGTATTAGGATTTAGGACGGTATCCAGGAGAAACAATCTCAGTTTCATTTTATAAATGATAATCGCCCAAATGTGTATAGACAGGTCGTATATTAACTATTAAGTATAAAACCTAAAATATATACCCGCGTTAAATTTTTCCCTCATGAACCATTACGAGAAACGTTTCATACCTTTATTCCGTTAGTCTCATGCATAACACACGCATTCCCGTGTGATACATACGTGATTTTTTTTTCTACGTACAATGCAATTTTATTTTACCGTTTCGGATGTTTTGCAGGGTAAATCACGCGCTCCGTTTTCCGGAATATTTCATTGGCAATAACATTGCTACTTCAATACATTATCCAGAACCTGTGTAACCGCGAACATTTACCCCGTGATTTTGCACTGGCTGGTGAGATCAATCGTAACAACTAAAATTGTACGCACTGTCAATTTACCAGCTGCAGTATATTTTTTTTTTTTTTTTTGAAAAAAGAATTACCAATGGGCGGGGCGGTCAATTTTCGTGGTTAAACTGATATAAGAATAATCAATTAATAATCAATACTGTTATTTTATAATTTCATCATACGTACCAGTACATTATAATGTACAGTTATATATCCGCAATGACACGACAATTTATCAAAAAAAAAAAAAAAAAGGTTATTAAAAAAAAATAAACGTCGACTAGAAAATAATAATCACGAATCGTCGAGTACAACAGAAAAAAAAAAATCTAATGGCAGTATCGAATGTTGTCGCTTCTCTAAAACAGTATGCTAGGTTATAGCGTACTACCTATATAGCTGAACAGGCTCAAATGAGTGTAAAATAATTTACTGCCAACGTCTGCTTGATGAATGTCAAAGGCTCGGAGAGAGCGCGGCCTTAGTGTTATTTCCGTTTAAGTATAATGTTTGACCCTGTAAAGATACCATGTCAGATTCTACATCCGTGGTATTATTGTGTACCCGAAGTAGAGAATTACAAATTTACAGTGTCGGCGTATACCATATCATATTATTGCCGAAAAGCGTTACAGTTTGTGCTAAAATATGGGTAAACAATTATAAATTTGAAAACGAAAATCTCTTTGAATAAAAAACGATTATCGAGAAACGTACGGTTATACTTAACATAATAATATAAGCAATTAAATGGACAAATTAAAAATATTAAAATATTGAATTTATCCACAAAAAAAAAAAAAAACCACTAAAATTAAACTAAGATTTATTTGAAACGAACAAATGCGACGCCCTCTAAAATACAAAATAAGTGCTGAAAAAGAATCGTTTAATTATTTTCTCTCGATATCGGTATTTCGGCGGTTGATTGAGAGAATATTTTTGTTTTCGTTTAATGAAATTTGATATTACTATTATTCATAGTTCCACTTTTCTAAGAAACACTTCTGAAAAATTATTTAAAAACATAATTATATGTTATAAAAAGTGTACAAAAAGCTATTAATAAGATAATTATACGATTAAAGGTTCTACATGCTATCGGAAAGTTTGTAGGCATGTGTAATTACAATACTCAAATCAATAATACCGCCTTTTTTTGTTCTTCCGTATAAGTAAATTTAATTTTAAAAGTTTTGAAATACATCATATTTCTAAAAGAAAAAAAAAATAAATACAATATTCGACGTGTTCACGCCATGTACAATACAGGAATTCTAATTCGATGTAAAGAACGGGGAACGACAAAAACAAAAATCGTATGTAGTTCCGTATATTACCGTACCGTGTAAATCAATGTGTATATTATTATACTGTATATCATATTTCTCCGGGGGCTGTGTTATATATTTTACCGCTATTATTGTTAGACACAAAATACGTATGCTTCGCATGATACATTATAATATAATCGTCGCGAATTCTCGCTAGTATAGTTGTGACAACGCGGTTTATATATATGAAAAAAAAAAATTACTGTAAGTATATGTACAATAATAACAGCTGCGAATAACAATATTGTATATAGACGTACACCCACTCCTCTCCCGGAGAATTCATCGTTTTCGCGGTCATAATATAGTCGGGATGATAAAGAATAAATTAGCATAATGTCTGGGGAGTTTTCCGTTTATTTAGCATTTTTTCCCCCACCTATGTAATAATGTTATATTTATATCATACACACACACACATTATATACGTATAGGCGTAACAATATTTATAGTGCGGGAGGGGGAAGAGCGACATGAATAATTCATTTCGTGACACGGGTTTCAAGCACCAGGTATAATATAAAAACATTTTTTTTAATTTTTTTTTTTTTTTTGATCTCCATGACTAATTTTCGCTGTATCTCGCGGAATCCCTGCGGCCATTTTCGCACAAACCGTAATATTATTTTTGGTTTTTGCGCTGGCCCAAGGTAAAAATATATCGTAAGAGTGTGTGTGTGTTTGTGTATTTATATCGTTATATGTATGTATGTTTGTATGTATGCGTGCGTGTGTGTGTGTGTGTTTATACAGGGCGAATATACGAGCGGACGTGACTATATGGCAAGGCGTAAATCATCATTCCGTTAATGGTGTCATTAACACACTATATTATTGTATACATATAGCGTATAGGTATTATAGTCACCTATACGAGTGTACCCGGTCAGCCTCGAACGGATGGCGAGGGCAACACGTAGAGATAATGTAAGCGGAGAGAGAAAGAGGGGATGGTCGGAGATTACGTGGTGTGCGGTGGTAAGGTGTAAGGGGAGGAGGGGTAGAAGAGGAAAACTGCAGGATAATATCGTAACGATACGGGGTGTATAAAGTATATTATTAAATGCGCGATAAAAAGGTCGGTCAAACATGCACAGGGAATGATAGAGGTAGGAAATGCAGAGTGAAGTGGAGTGAGAGTGAGAATGACGGTCATCACAAAGGCCGTTTATTTTATGTGCGCTATACGTTGTAATATATGTTATGATCGTACCTGTCGATAGGGGCCAATAACGCCGTGGCGGCGTCCTGTACGTGCCGTTGTGCCGATCTCCGGTCCCTGTGCACCATGCCCATCAACTTCATCCAGCCACCCCCGTGGCTGCCCATGCCACCCGAGTGCCACATGATCGCGGCCAGCCCTGTAGCCAACGACCATACGACCCTGAAAAGATCAAAAAATATCGTATTACAGACGGTTATGACTTATGACAAAAATAAATACATGAAAAAAACGCGCAACACACTAATATAGTATTATCGCTGGAAATTTTACAAAATGACAAAAATGAAAAAAAAAAAAAAAAAAAACGCTGATAAACTACGATATAACGTAACTTTTTTGTTATCCCTAGGAACATAATATTGTATGATAAACCTTTTGTTACGTTTTTTTTTTTTTATGGTGCCAAAGAGTTTTATTCGCGGACAACGTACGAGCAGTTATTATTATAGTACTTACTTGTAATATAGCATGACGCTAATATAATATGAACTTGACTTTTACAAATCTGATCATAAATTGGAAATTAAAACGCATATTAAAAAAAAAAAAATCTGATATTACCGATGAGTGTGCCACTGTTGGGTACTCTCGAATCGCCTCCAAAATTCAGGTAGGTGACCTTTTTTCACTCAAATAGCCTTCGGGGGTTTTCGGAGGCAGTTCGAGTATACTCAAACCGTCCACTCGAATCGCCTACCATAGCATACCTAGATTATTAACTAATACGTCGATAGTTGACGTGTACTATCGATTATTATATTGATTTCCGTGAAGTTCAAAAATATCGTTTTTATTATTTATAATAATTTAAATATTATTATATATATACATATAGTATTTCCCAAACACATTCATTTTACGAATGCAAATATCTTATCGATAGCTGATTATCAGTAGATTAGTTGACTATCTAATTTTCTTTTTATTGATTTTTTTGACATCGACTTACTACCTAATACCGTGTGTACTAATGTCTACTAATGGCATGTACCTAATACCTATGTATAATTGTTTTTAGTTTTTAAAAATTAAATGTAGAAATCGATTCCGATACAAGGTCACTACCTAAAATAAGAGGCGATTCGAGTGAATGATATTTTTGAAATCGGGAGGTAATTCGAGTAACCTTTTTAAAAAGAAATTCATGGGGAGCAATTCGAGTGTCAGGTGGGAGGCGATTCGTGTACGCCCACACTATTATGGGCAAAAAATCGGGAAGATATAGGAAGGATATAGTGTAATTTAATGTTTATATTAAAAACAACGATTAATCATTGTGATGAAAAAAAAAAACACGATTTTTTCGAGGAACTTGGTAAACTGGTAAGATTATAGAATTAGTTGCATTTCTTTTCCACGTAGCCAATAGTAAACCCAGAAGTCAGTTGTTATCGGGTTTTTGAATTGTTTAAAAAAACTTTCGGGAATCTAGAATATAATGTCTCAAATAAAGTTCTATCTGTTGAAAAAATCCGTTTTTTTTATCGGAATATTTTTATTGGCCGAAAAAGTGTTTATGCCAAGCAAAAGCAAAACGCATATCTTATTATAAGATATATCTTATGAAGCGTATATTTTTCACTACGTTTATAGTCCAAAATCGATAAAACCAGTACATTTTTCGCTTAGATCAGAATCTAAAAAGCAAAAAAAAAGGGCTAAATCTTATCTTCAGTTATATCGTGATAATATATTCAATAAGTCAAACGATACACTCACATTCCGAACAAAGTGAAACGATAGTAATTCACGGGTGAACCCGGCGAGACCGTTCGTTAATTATTAACATGATTTACGTGTACTGACTTTATTGTGGCAATAAGTTTATAATGTATAATATCACGGACGCTATTTAGCTTTTAGGTTTTAGAAATGCATAATTATATTATCGTGACTCCATATAATGATACGAAAGAGTATTAATGAAAGTTTCTTTAGACACGCTGCACACAACAACCTGGGCGTGTACCACGCGGTATCTGTTTAAAAGTTTCACTACGACGGCCGTATCTATGAAACGAACTTATCGGTGACCCGATAATATGCACTTGTGTAAAACTTTTTCTGCTTCATTTTATTTTCATTTTTATTTTCATTATTTTTGTTTTTGTTTTTTTTTTTTATTTTTTTTTTATAAATCATTTTTGTGAAACATTTTTCCGTCAAAAGATATGTGTATATTATATTACACGTACCAGCTGCTATATTATACAGATTATTTTACACTGTGCCGCGCGCGATCAAATAAATAATAAGCGAAAGTATATATATATATATATATACGAGTATATAATACGAAAATCGGGGTCGTTTTATTTTTTTTTATTTTTTTTTTATAAATCATTTTTGTGAAACATTTTTCCGTCAAAATAAAGCTTATCGTTCAGTAGGTTTACGTAATATTACGCGTTTTTTCGGTATCACTAAAACCAAATGTAATGTATTTATTTTTTTTTTTTTTTTTTTTACTGCCTGGCGGGTAATACCACTGTTTTAGGAATGTTTGGGTAATATATAGAGTAATTTAATTTGTATTTATATGCAATCGTGAACCATCGTTGCCAAAGAAAAACGATCCTGAGCAGAAATTAATAAATACATCTTTTCCTCTTTTTGTTGAACGTAAAGCAAAAATTCGCAATAAACCTAACACTAAATCTCCAGTTTTTCTTTTTTTTTTAAGAAAATTCCAAGGAAAACCAAAAATAAAAAACAAACAAACAAACGGATATATTTCGCATGATGTATGGGCCACTGTTGCAGAACGAGAAGTTGGAAAAATAGAGGGAACATTTTATGTATATCCGTACGCAACGATTAATAATTACTAATGAAAAACGATTCTGAGTGGAGTTCGGTTAAATCTTTCAATTTGAAAGGCCGTAATATTTACAGTTTGAAAATAATAAATTTCGTACATTTTTCTGTTTTTCCTACATTTTCCAATTTTTTATGAAAACCAATTGGAAAATAAAAAAATGACATTACAGTACCACTCCTGAAAGATTTCCTTTCAGAAAAGGTTGTAAATCAATACATTCCTCGCTCTGCTCAAAATCTAAAATGAACCTTTCAATGCATTGACTAGATCAAACGTGCTACAAAGAAATTCATATATAACGATTTTGATTGAAGCGAGTTACAAATGCACAAAAACTCATCACATAAAACCAACACATTTCTCTCTTCGCTAAAAATCTAAAAAAAAAGTCAAATATACGGATTTTATTAATTCCTAAAAAAATCATTTTTTCATTTATATTAATATTTACGTACATTGTTATAATGTGCACGAGAGTGTTTACTCAATTTTAAGACGGTCGGTCATTTTATTGTTTACATTATATACTATCAGTGTATAGAGGTCAACTTCATAAAAATGTGAAGCCTGGACTACGAATAGTATGACGGAATTAAAGCTGAAGACTTTTTAAAATGAAGTCTGGAAAAAAATCTGTGGACCCGTCATATATGTCCACACGGGTGAACGGCATAGAGCAAGACAGGTGGTGTGATATTGTG